GACAGGATAACCATCGAGAAGAGACACCATGCCACATGTCTGTTCATATCGGACTTATCCAGTGCTGAAAACAGCCATAAGATACTTTCTGGATTGCTTAAGAAACATGTTACGAAACTCCAGATCGCGGAGGCAGCTACTGGATTTGATAGTATGCTTGCTCGTGATTACGGGATCTCTTTGGGCTCTTTCTCTTTCGCAAACCCATTCGACGACCCAGGCCTTCCTATCATGGCACGAGTGCGTTTAGATAAACGGAACAGCTGGGAACGATCGCAAGGAGTGATTGCTTTTCTGGGTACAACAGCACTTATGCAGTCTGGCTCATGTCGGCCACGCCCTACCCCAGCTCCCCGGACAACATAGCGGAGTTCATAATACTCACTGAAACAGAGAACTGGCGGAGGGGCTCAAAGACCGCGCCCTTAAATAGCACAGGCTTTCACAACCTGGGCAAGAGGTTCTCCAGGCTGTCTCAATGGAAAGAAAGCATCCCATAATAGCCGGCATGAGGCACACCGTGGGCTTCTAATGATGTCCGACTGCACTAGATGATGAAGTGTAGACATCACCGGCTTCACGGCGTGTGTGGGACGAAGGTGATATTGGTCAAATACAGGGCTGCTTGCTTCAAGCGAAGTCACATGTCTCTGATCACAGAATTGTCTCCTGAACCGACATGCTCCCAAGGCACTGGGCTCCGTACTGTGATCGTCCAGAGGTGTCTGCTCCTGAAATTCATTCACCTCATGTTGTTGGCCCCCTTTGCTATCTCCATGAGATAAAATCCTTTGCAATCATTCAAAGCCAGCCATGGTGTTGGCCACTTCATGTGGCCATTCGTTGACTGGATTTGCCGCTGCTGGACAACCCGGGAATTTGCTTTCTGGATATCATGACCTTACGTTGAATGAACGGATCACTCGTTCCACTAACTCAAACTGAGCCCACTGATGTATAATAGCATCCGCAGTCAATCTTCACCTGCACAGAAAGACCAAAATTCCCAGCTGGAATTCCCTGTTTCAAGCAGACTTGGATACAGTGAAAAGCCGCCAATCCCAAGAAAGCCAAAAGTCGCAAGACTTACAAACCCGAAGACGGAGGCTGAGAAGAACGCAATGGCGGGAAATTTCAGAGAACTTGTCAAGGACAATAGAAGTGGGTTCTTACTATTACCACTGACAGCTCATTTCTCTGGACAAATGTCTACCCAATTACCAAGATATATAAGATGATAATGCGGAGAAGGATACGACCGAGCTGTCAGCTTCAGGACTTTGATTTCCGCAGATTGAGCTCCTGAGAAACAATTGCTCAGCACCTGTTGATGCCCTTAAATGCAGGCAAAGGCTCGGTTAATCACCGCCAGCTGCAGACTGCCCCTTTCCTTGATAATTCCACGAAACGTGGCATCGCCTAGAGAGGCTGGTTCAAGAGCTATGGATTATTAACAGGACTGTATTGTCCATGGGTGTTTTTCTCCTGGAACCACTGCGTCCCACTAGCAAGCCAAGGTATACAAGTTGCCAATCGACCAACCGCGCTGGCCGAATCACTTGGTACGATTATTTCCAAATGGGAGAATGAAAGCTACCCCTTCGACTGAGTGGAGTTGAGTTCCAATCGAAGAAAACACTGGTAAGCCAGACGATCTTTGGCGTTCCAAGGAAAGCACAATAGACATGCACACGGCGAAGCAGAAGTCCACTGTGGGACTACATTTACCCTATCTTCTCTGACTGGGATCACACAATTCCATCCAGGTATTGGGGGAAATATCAGCGCCATGGCAATGGCCCCTGCGGGCTTTCGCGGGGTGGTCAGTGGCTGCAAGGACTGCCGGCCACTAGAGTTCAACTCTCTCATCCGCCCGCACAAAAATGTCCGCATATTGTCTTGACGACAAGCGCACTCCGCGCCTGAAGGACTCCCTCGCTGCCGGGATGTTGTCTGGATCTACTGTGCTGTTGACTTTTGAGGATCTGCGGTCTTTACTGTCAATCAATCAAACGGCTGATATGTGTCGCGAAATCGCCGACGAAGTATTCTTCAAGGAAGGACAAGAAAGCGTGGATTTATAGCTCTTCTCTCAATATGGGCTTTTGTACGACAGCAAAGACTGAGGTACTTGACCCAGATCTTCAAAATGCCGGTTCGAACAAAACGGTCTCTACAAGTGGCTGTGTGTTTCGAAGCCGCTTCGAATAAAGGTAACATTTGTGACACTTCAGTCAATGGAGATGATCAGATGGACGGTTTCGCTAAGTCTTTGGCCCAGATGGAGAAGTGTCTGCGGAATGCGCCAATGACCACAACAAAAGAAGCATGATTGCAAGACACCAATGATCAAGGCCAATACTTCTGCCCAGCCGTCAAGGATCATAGAAGGTCTTCAGAATCCGGCCTGTGTCACACTCTATTGTCCATTATCACTGCAGCCAAGATGTACGAACAAACCAGGCGCCGATAGAGCAGTTCCACCTCCACGCCGAATGTCGCACACACAAAAAGGCTGTCTCTGGTAACTTGGGCTAGCAGTCTACTTCGGTCTCATTTATCGCACCTAACGACAAATCCGAAATATATCGGTCCTGAAGAGCGCCATGGCATCTAACATTGAAACGTACACACACGATCTTCATATATGTGTCTCAAAATCGACATTTTCACTCTCTGGGCATGAGTCGAGAGGCTGTACATGTTGCAGTTCAGCTTGTGACCCCATCTATTTGCACACTTGGAATTCCGGTTGAACTCCTCTCTCAAAGCAAGAGGGGAAGGTTGAATCAACAACCTCTGCCCGATTGCTGTACTTTCTATCGACTGGAATAGATGATGTTCTAATAGCTGCCTATCCAGGGGTAGTTGGTCGAGCAACAGAGCCAACGGGGTCCGTCCTAGCATCAATTCCAAGATCCAAAGTCGAAACCGAAATTGGAATTGCTTTAGCTGGTGGGATCCATGAATATCTATACGAAATGAAGGAGATTGGAGAACATAGAACTAAAAGCTCAGCCCAGCGATTTGAGAGCCGAATACAATTTAGTCCTGCAGAAACGCAAGAATATGGAAGCTGGTCAGATGACGTGCATCTCCAGAAGGACAGGACTATCCAAAGCCAAATCATCGGATGGAGAGAAGATACCTACAATTTTCCGGACGTCAAAGGAATTTTGAACCAGGAAGAAATGTCTCCAAGCCCTTTCCGATCAATCGGCCTTTCCAGTGCCGCTGAAGTTTCCAATACAGCCTGAAGGATGCAACGGAATACACCTCAGCGAGAGATCAATTGTGTATTTATACTATTCCGGCTTGCTGTTCAGTAGTATGAAGCTGCACTACTGCGTTCGTCAAGGTCTCGCTCTGGATTCTCTCGAAAGCACCAGGTGACAAATGAGATCGTGACACAACCACGAGAAATGCTGAACATGTGCGCAAGCCATCGCAAGCGGAATCTCGCGGTGGAATCCGTCGTGTTTTCTAAGTCCCTGCTACTTCGCAGACAGTCGCCGAAAGTGCTACGAGGAGCAGAAAGAGACTGATTCTGGGATCTGTCATACACGGAATGGGAAGAATGTCGGCATGCAGGTGTCACGGCATGTTGCCGTTGACCCCCTCAATCATCATGAGCTTGACAATGCGTCCATCGGTGTTTGGTTTTGTTAAAAATCTAGGTACGGAGAAAATTCCCATAAGTTGTGGGAAGCATGCGTCAATATGATACCAGAAGCTTCGAAGTGAGGGAGCGCAACAAGGTGAATCTTCCAGGAGAAAACTATGTCTTCAACTTTCTCACAACAACTAAGGAGGCATTCTCTGACCAGAAAATGTACTGACACCACCTTGTGTGCGAAGAATCCATGGATTCTGTCGGGTTTGAATCGTGCATGTCCAGTCACAAGAGCCATTGTCCCGTGGTACAGCGATAGATCGATCCGCCTCAGAGCGCTGGGAGTTACGAGGCAGGTAGGATGGTTGGGATGGGATGCTATTGCATCCGCCATGGGTATGGACAAGGGCAGGCATCGCGGATATCTTGCAACGCGCATTTCACTGTTCCACCGCTACCGTACTGGCGAGAACGGAGTTGCTAGCTGCATGGCTGGAACTCCTGTTAATTTGACTCATTGGGTCGCTATAACAATTAATTGTGAGGAGTTACGTGACGCGCGCGAGAACTTGTCGACGCTGATTTTCCGGGCAGAATGATTCGACGAAGCTTCTGCTGCCATTCGATCGCGCTCCCGAACGTCGACGCGGACGGCCATGGTGCTACCGTTTACCTGGCCCGATTATCAATATACCTCAAACTGACTATATATCATTTTACGGTGAGGCATGGAGAGAAAGCGACTGTTTCGCGCGACCTCAATATAGATGACGCCCTTTCTAATCATGTCCTGCCCTTGAACTCATACAGGCACGATCAGGTCAGCTGAAGATCGCGATGGGGCTTATGTGATAGTCGTTTGCGCACTTCAGCCTCGGTTTGTTTGAGCTCTAGAGCGTTCTCTTGTCTGATCAGACCGAAGCAGCGCAAAATTCGCTATGTGGAAATTCCCTTGCAGCATCTCGACAACATGTTGTTCCAATTAGAATCAACACTCCATATTTACAGTTATGATGAGGCTAGGATGAAGACGCGCAATTCATTCGGCTTGTAAATATCATGAGTGGGCGACGATTGTTGGGTCGCCGACGGTGGACTCTGGTCATGCGAAAACCGACTCGGAGGTATATACTCAGACACAGTGAGATCGCTGTCATGGAGGCGCAAAGAAATTTGCGTGCCTCCAGAGTGGTCACCAAAGCGACATCAGACCACTGGCTTCGTTGAAATGCCTTCTGGCACCATGAGAGTCAGACTACCCGATTAACAGAAAGTACGATGGAGAGTGCGTTCTGCACTCCTTTGATTCATTTTTTATTGAGTATATCTCGTCGGACGAGACTTCAAACAAATCAACATGTGTCCAGCTCCTTGCACTACAACGACGATGCCAACAAAACGTCCAGTTGCACCGCCTGATTGGTCGTTTCGCAATGTGCCGGATCCTCAACTCCAAGCGAGGGGATCAGGATGGTTCAGACGCTACAGTCCAGGGAACATCACTGCCAGGTATGAACTGACTTAACTCCCTTTTCCAAAACGAAGATTATTGACAACTGCCGTAGACTGAACAGAACCAATCCTACCACCCGTGAGACTCTGTCTAGCGTTGAGACAGAAAATACCACCTCCAGAAAATGCAGAGCTGGCGCTAAAGCTCAACACAGTTTCCGTTTCGGACTGGACAGCTTGGCTTTCAACTATCTGATCGTCGTCTTACCGCAGGCGCCTGGCTTTGGGGCTCTGCGAAGAATCCAGGGACATCTATGAGAAGGACATCTACAATTGTACCACATTGTCGGTTCATTGACACATTCAGCAGCATCTGCCGATGCGTCAGGGCCAGAGTCCGAAGTCCAAACTCGCTAAAATTGGACATTCTAGCACTCGAAGGGCTGAAAAGCAGTCTAATTCAATTAATTACGATGTCTATCATTGATATTTCATCCTTATGAAGCATTATCATCCGCCTTTCTAACGGGTTACTGTGTGAGTGCGCCGCGTCGAATCTGACATAGTCCTCATATTATGATGGCGTCGAAGTTTATTATATTCAAAACTTGGGGCACTGGAGAACAGGCTGACACCATGGAGGCCTCTTATCGTGTGATACCCGATTCAAGTGTCTGTGTCAGAAAAGGGATCCCACCTATATTCATAATTTTGCTGCTATTATTGAGATCGTGCCCAGCAGGACATCACAGGAATGGAACATCTCCGTCTCCAGAGCGTCCATCATAAGAAGAATGGTCTGCCTGAGCCTGGTCTGGTCTGGAACTGTTCGTCAGGAATATATGATAATGTGCCCAGAACGCTATGCAAAAAAATGCACGCCGGGTCAAGGCTATACTTGGCTAGAACGATACTATATACTGACTCTATGTTCGAGTCGCAGAGAGAATGCCAGGGACCTAATGTGACTCGAGAGACATTCCACCACAAGATTAAGCACACGACGATATGTGGTATTAGGCACCATCATGACAAAAAGGATCTCAACACAAACGCACGTTCCAAGTGCACACCGCAAAATGGTCTCTATACTCAGATTTTCTTCAACAGCCATCTGCGTGTAAGCAACCGTCCATCAATTGAGCTGTTCGGCAGCTGCGAGAGGCATGGTAAAAAACCATTATCCTGGGCTCCTGTGTTTTGCCATGACATTCCGGACATTGACATGGAACTGCCTGGTGGGGTGGTCTACTCTTCTATCACCAACGAGTGGGTTGCTGTGTCGGGCTGTTTTTCTCGGAGGGGAGATGCGGCAGGCCGTGCCTGGTGATAATGAGGTCATGACCTAATCTTGGCGACAGATTGCGCTGCCGTATGTGAGAGTGTGGAAATGACACCGCATGCAGTGTATTCAATCGTGGGAAGAGAGATGCGGAAATCTACTATAAATGAATAATGTGTCGACTAAATGCCGTTGACGGGGACCGAAGGCCATCAAGAAGTCACCCAACATGATACTGGGTGTGTGCTGCGGTGCCAGCAAGCTAACAACCGGCACAACGCACTCGAGAAAGAAACCCTACATGGAGAGACACCAGAAAGCCGAGAAGAAGAGACTCGTCGTGTTCAGAGGGAGATGCTACTCGACGGGAATAATTGCTCCGTCCAGCAGAAGCCACCATCTGCCACACAAGAGCAATATGAGAGCTACTTAGTACAGTCTGTCTATGGATCCTTTCATCTCTTCTTTGTTGGTTTCAGAACTGATACCAAAAGCTCAAGCCATGAAACCATTGATGAGGTGGAATGGTAACATCAAATCGATAACAATGCAACGGGTCCTGAACAGGTACTTGATCTATACCCCGAAACATGCATGGTCGAGAGGAGAACAATGACAACTTCAGTGTGGTTTCCTTGGATATGGTGGAAGAGCAAAGGTGTCAGAAGACCTATTCAATGGGAAGTAACTCAACAAGCTCAGGATAGATCTGGGTGTCAGCCAGACATCATCGGATGTCTTTGCTGCCTACTGAAGGGTGGTATTAGAAGTCATTAGCGGCATTTGAGTGAAGACAACTGATCGAATATTGACCCTTGCACGATGCGGGCCGCGCTGATGCTACGGCGGGTGAACCTGGCCGTGACTCTCGGGTTCCTCTCGTGACGTCGATAGATGTGGTGGTGGCTATTGTTTGAAGGAACCATGTGGGCGTTGTGGTTATATCACTGTGCCTGAAGCTTCAACGAAGCCCAGGTATTTACCGATGTGGAAGAACTTCGACGTCCTGTCAGTCCGAGCAGTGACCAGAACACAAGATGCATGGTGTGCACAGTGCATCCCGAAGAGGGCTGTAATGCCTGGTTACGAACAGAGACAGAAGGAAGAACTAACGAGTAACATTACACAATAACGACATTAGGTGAGCTTCTCCGAGATGCAACGAAATGGCGCATTTTTCTATACTTCAGTTTTGCTCCTTGGATATACCGCCCAAGAAAAACCTCTGGGTCAGATCCACGCCGGATAGGAAACCGGGAAACGAAGAGGAGAAGTATGAGTTGGCTGTTTCGCTTAACTGCTTCCTAATGGAACCTCTACCAATGGAGCACGGAAATAATCGCGGCAGCATCCTTGCTATTGTTCTTCCTTCAATCGACGCAGCGACCGAAGGCAATGATAGCCAGTGGGCATATATACGGGCACACCAAGGAGTTGATCCGTGTTCTTGCAACTGCCAATCAACCGAGAGTTTGCCGGAAAATTCATTGGTGGGCTATGTTGATCCTAATCAACATCACTCTGCCGTCGGAACCGTCGTCCACAATACCAGGCGCTTACTGTCGTGTGTTGTCTTTCCTCCCGTTCTGTCCTTTGACTCTCAGAGAATATATCCGTGGAGTGGCAGTTCTCTGTTTCTGGTATTCATCAACATCCACGCAGGGCAACATGAAACACCAACAGAGGAAATGAATCGAACTACCTAATCATTCTTGCCATAGTGTTGTTCTCACCGATAGAGTCATATGAGCAAGATGCTCTGGGAAAGGCACTTCCCACCTCGTTCCATTGCTCGTCCCGCTTAATCTCGGCGTCTACTGAGCGGAATGAGCGAATTTCAAGATGACCTGCGATAGTTCAAGTGTCATATATATGTTTGTGGTGCATCTGCTTTGTGTCATCAATGCTAAAAGCGTAATATATATGATGCCAACCGACCAGACTCATGTGGGTATGTCGGGAAACGCTCGCGAACTAGTCAAGATACCCGAATGGTACAGTGACTCTATTTCTCCAGATGACTGTGACAAGTCCGAATGGTACTCTGAATCCCTCAAAATTGCTAGTCACAAGCATCAAATCTGTGGTGGTTTTTGAGTCGGCTGCGCCGGCTGATCGCCGTTGGAACTATATAACAATTTCAAAGGCATTGTTTATACCCTGAAAGAAGCGAGAGACACGGTCCATATTTTCACCATCTCCAAATTGTGATCCATATGCAGAAGACGTAACTTATTAGGAAGATGCAAACTCGCTATGGCTGTTCTGGTATGGTTCATATGTTGAGCTGCGCTGCTCGCCATGACGGTTGCCAACCTACTTGACAACTTTGCTTGCACGTTGCACAAGATGAAGTATACAGACAGTTCATTATCTGTCACTCTCTGGGAACCGAAGCCGGACTTGACGAGAAAGGAATTGGAAGAGGACCCACAAAGGATTACTTCAATCAATCGGATTCTCTATTCGCGATTGACAGATCCTAAAAAGCAGAAGGCAACCACAATTGTTCGCACATATTCGGAATTCATCAAATCACCTCTTGAGAGTGGATAACTTGCTAGTGTGGAGTGCAGTGTGAACCTATTCTTCATTTACTTCGCCTCGGACGTGGAGAGAAGTTCGTAGGGCTTTCAGTCCCATCTCCCATTATGAGACCGATATTGCAAATGCCTTCAGACTCGGCGATGCTGGGAAAATACTGATAGGATGAGATGGTGGTGGAATACCATGCGGGCATGGTGGTAGCTGTGAATCTCACAGCACTGCGGATTTGGGCGAAATATATAAAAGAGATGAAGAGGATGTTTGTGGCCAATGGACACTTCTACTCCCAACATCAGCATGGGACGGTCATAGTAATGGATCATCAAGGCGTCTATATGGTGGTGCGATAAATTTACACCTATTCGAATGGATACTGAAAGCTGAAGAGAAGGAAAAAGACCAGCCAAGGGATGCTGGACCTTACAAGCTTAGAACAATATGTCTCTCTCGGAAGCCTTGACAAACGACGCGACAGAAAACAAAGAAACTATGATCTAAGCATCAACTCGGTCGGTCAGTCACTATATTTCATGGACACTGATTCAACAATTTCAAGAAGAGAAGAGCAATTGCAGCCGACCACAATTGTCTCGGCTCTGTCCCGAATGGAAAGCGACATGGAAGATGCCGAGTGGAGTGGTGAAAAGTTGGCAGAAGAGCCGTGGAATTTGACAGATATTCCATCTCTTTCCAGAACTTGATAAAGAATGTGATGAGAAGAAAACGAGCAATGTCATCAGTGTACCACCTGAGCCACGCTCGAGACATATAACATAGACTGATTGCTTAATCCCAAATCGGAAAAAGAGACTGCACACAGTGAGACGTCTCCCGGTTGATCGCAAGTTGAGACTGACACGGATGACACTGAATGAAAAGACAAAATCAGCAAAGAGAGGCGCAACCCGTTGACCAAAAATGAGGTGGTGGGTTATTCTTCATTTATAACAGGCTACAACCCCGGATAGATATCCAGACGCTCTTTAATTTGAATCATATCACTGGGGTTGATTAAGCTTGTCAATTGGGATCAATTGACAGCTGAGAGTGATCAAGAAGCTAAATATAGGAGAACGACTGCCAAGGGAGGTTGAGCCTGACGGCCAAAACTCCCTAGTGGACATCTTTCACTCAAAACGGTTATCACTCGAACCATGTCGGCCATGTGATTCAGATTGCCGATCGGCCTCCGACACACTGCTCTCCCCATACGTCGGTTCAACTTCAACTCCATGGGATAAATCCTCAAGGACATCGAGAATGGGAGTGTCTGCATCGAAGGACGCTGGGAGAATGTCTTAAAGATGGAGCGGCGGATAGAGATGAAAAGCACCAACACAGTCATGACAGGAATTCAAATGGGGAAATGTGACAGGTGTTTCTGATACACATAACATCTCATCCCATACATGTCTTCCACACCGAACATGGGTTCCTCTTAAAGGATTATGAGATGATGGCGATGTTTGTCTTCCCTGCTTGATAACACCCCACAGAATGGGATATGCGAGTGTCATGAAGCAACATGAACTAGGTGCCTACCTACTCCCCATGGTAGGGTCGAAATCGATACTGATGGAAAGGAGGATTAAAGAGATGAAGAAGGTGGATGAGGAATGTTGCGAAAGCCAGGCGAGATCAGCTTCAAGAAAGGCAACAATGAGATAGTGACAACAGCCATGAGGAGAAGAAACAGCCCTTCACGGTCTGCAAAATAAGGGTCTTCAGAAGGAACTGCGAAAGGGACACCAGCCTCAACCATTAACTTATACTCCAACCAGCAAAAAGAAGAGATGATACCTAGCATCATGACGATGACCAGCAGATGCTCTGGATTCTCCTCTACTAATCGTGGTGAATATGGCTTTACTGCGAAGAACACCTCATCCGGACCTACGACTTCAAAAATTTTGCAAGTATCGGTATTAGCAACAGGCGCATACAGCAAGTAACACTGTCCTAATCGTGACAGTGGCCCCGAATCGGAATACAAACACCCTCCCAGGGACCGTGGAAAAACTCAGAGACACGGCCGGCAAAGGCCCCCACAACTATGCCTTCGACGGAGGAGCGATAGGTAAGGTCACGGTCAACGAAGTACAGGCGGCGTTGAATGCTCAGTTCCGTGCCAACGGTAAGGGACAAGTACCAGCCTACGAGATCCGAGAGATTCGGCAGGAAGCCTACGGCAGTGATGTCCTCCACACGCGCGAGTGCATCCTCTCTGTTGTCAATGTGTCCACAATCTGGGTATCCTTGCGGAGCCGACATTCAGGCGAACCTAAATGTGATTCATTGGATGGGATTAAATGCTCGAGTACCAGGATACAAGGTTCTTGAGCTGTGCGGAAGCGAAATATGGACCGGTGGGGTTATTGTTACCTTTGCTATACCCAGACAAAGGTACGACTGCCGCATCCTGTCGGCTCGCTGGAATAAGGAGCCGAAGGGGTATTTCATTTGTAGTCATGGCTACTTACCATCGCCGAGACTTTGAGCTAGCGACTCGCAATCATTCAATATCTGCCTTGATGGGGATAAAATCGAAGCAGATATCTTTCAGTTTGTATGGTCACTTTGACTGTTGTTGTAAGGTGAGGGTGTTAGAAGAGACCAAGGACTAGGTTAGGGATACGTGAACCACGGGTTGGGAATAAGATGGTCGGTGCGATGGGTTGAACTATCGGTCAGGGATACTCACTGCCCGCACTTCAGTGGTGGTCTGTCATATTATGACCATATATATGACTTCCTCTTCCGACGTTCCCGATTACCCCTTAAGGGATGGGCCATGACAGCTGTAACCCAACTTATCCTGACGTACAGTCATCACACTCACACATATTTGGAATAAAGGAGATAATTGAATATTCCAATGGTTCATCTATGTATATATCTATCGTGTACTTGATCATCGTAGCTACCAACCATACTTTCTATATACAATCTTCACCACCCAACTTCCCCCCTCAACCAAAAAAACACAAGTTGTAAGTAGTATGTAGCAATGGGATAGGATCAACACCTCCCTCGATAAACATCCACCATCTCCCCCCTCACCCTCCTCGCCAATGGCCACGCCCTACCCAACACCTGCAACGCCCCAACACCCAACTCAATCCTCGCTTTGAGCGACTGTTCCCTCCCCGCCCCAGTCTCATCCTCATGCTTGATCGCCAGCGATGAGGGAGGCCCACCCGCCAACGCAGCGACATGGACCACGGCCGCGATGGCGAGACCACAGGTGAAGAATGGCGTTCGGGAGAGGACGGTACTTGGGAGGGTGGCCAGATTCGAGAGGAGATCTGCGGCGCGGAGGAGTTTCTGGGAATGGGTGTTGGAGGCGGGGGAGTCGTGGTGGGGGATGTGTGTTGTTGTTGTTGTGGATAGGGGGAGGGATTGGAGGGTGCGGAGACGGGTGCAGGATGATGATGTTGTTGTTGATGTGGATGAGGAGGCGAGGGTGCTGGTAGTGGTAGTGGGGTGGTATGAGGAGAGGCGGATGGTGGAATGAGGGTGGTGGAGGTAGATTAGGCTTCTATTTTTGCTGTTTAGCCTCGTCTTTTAGGGTGTCAGATTGGATGGGGAGATGGGGATGACATACAGGTATGTTATCATTAGTGTTTGGAAGACCATTTCGTCGACGGTGGCGGTGTCGTGTTCTGGGAGGGAGGAGGGGAGTCGCATTAGGGAGGTGGCGAGACGGGCGTCTAATGTTTCCGTTTGGAGTTCGGTGTCTGGATCGAGGGATTGTGTTACTTGCAGGACGGCGCGGAGGTCTTGCGTTGCGAGGATGCGGTGGGTGAAGGGGGAGATGTGGTGCAGGTCGAAATTGGGGAGAGTGGAGAGGGTGGCGGATGGCTTTGGGGGTTTGAGTTGCTTGTGGGATGTTAGTTTTGAATACAATCGTTGGTTGGTTCACTGGTTATGTGGGGATGGATTTACCTCGAAATTGTATGCCTTTTCGTCGCAAGGGAGCTGCATCTCGTCGTTGATCCATTTGTAGCTGGGCAGGATGGGCCCGCCGCCAAATGCGGATATGAGCCCTTCCACGACGACGAGTTCCCAGTAGGTGCGTCGCCAGCTTTCTTCGAGGATGGGACTCCCGCGGGAGTGGCTACGTGCGAACGAGGGACTGGTCATGTCGAGGTGGCATGCTAATTGGATGGCCTCTTTGAGGAGTTTCCGGGCGGTCTCTTCATGTCCGTAGGAATGCTCGAGGATGGCGAGGAGAAGTAGTCCCTGGATTTTGAATCCGTCGTTTGGGGCGGAAAGAGCCGTGTAGGCGGGTGCTCGGAAGGCGTCGCTGAATCCGGGCTGGGGATAGTAGTGGCTGCCGATGTAGCGCATGATATGCGTGATGTACGCTGGGATGTGCTGGCAGAGTGAGGAAGCGAGACTGCGCCGCGGCAGGAGGATGGGATGCGAGCGATGAAAGTGGTGGTAGTAGAGCTGGATCATGGCATCGTGGGCGAGAGGTTCAGACTCGGCCACTGCGGGTGTGTATGCTGGTGGCGATGGAGGCAGGTCCTGGATAGGATCGGAATGTACATCGTTGAGGTCGATGTTAGGGTCCAGGCTGAGGAACTCTGGCTGGGTTGGTTAGTATGACTTCCGGGTTAGTGGATTGAGAGGCATACATCTAGGTCAATGGTGTTGTTGAGCCAAGTGGTAAAGTCTGGTAGGAGATCGACATCGCCCGGGGGTGGATCAGGACTAGATCTATTCCGCAAGCCGCGCCGTGAACGAACATAGCGACAGTCACTGTTACTATTGTGGCAGCGAGTGCAGATGGGCATGCGAGCGTCGCATTTGACATGGCGACGACGACAGGGTATACAGGCGAGGGGAGAGGGACGGTGGTCGGCCATGATGATGATTGTGCATGCACGAGCCAAGTGCAGGGTAAAGGGAGGCCATTTGAAGGATATATTATTTACAGTGTATGGAGGATTGGTGGCATGGAATGGTCGGACTCCATCGAGGCTGATTCCCGAGTTCTGGAATCAGGCCTGCATGCCGAGATCCCCGAGGTTCGGGGACCATCACCAGCCCTGATCAATTTGCAGACTTCGCCTAGGAGTATGTATGCTGGCAGTAGCATTCCGATCGACTCAGCATGCAGTCAGTGATATTATTCGATGAATCCCAGTGAATTTGCATGATGTGAACAAGCCTACATCGTACCAGCTAGCCACTGCCAGGGACAAGCCATACGGAACTCGAGGGGTTCGCCCGAGCAAGGCCTAGTGTGGAGAGGCCGCTGCAAGATACGGCGGGTCGCCGGTGTACTTTTAGTCCAACAGAGGTTGTATTTATTTGATGCAGGTGTTCCCCGACTGAAGGAAAGGACCCGAAAAACCGGATCAGCCGCCTAAACCCGGTGTGTTGGGATGTCACTCATCACACCATCACCTTGTCGATCGACATAGGGTTTGGGGTGTTGGTTGGCTGCAGGCACTGGCGGAGATGTTCGCTGGGTGGTTCCCGATATGCATGTTCTCGGGCTTCACTTGACTAACCCTCGAGAGGCACATCTAATCAATGCATTTCCTCCACAATTAATTGTCGGCGAAGTGGTCCGGTGCCACAGTGACACAAGCAAATTAACCTTCCTACCCGGTCGGCGACTATCGACGGCGTCTATTCTAGACTCCTTCTTCTAACCCCTTGGAATCATGTGGGGGAGTGGCTCCGGGTCCCCGTCTGCTTTAAATGAGGATCCCGACTCCGAGTCCCTGGACAATCCCCGACTGGCATTAAAATGGTCCCCGACGCCGCGTGGCCGTTGCCAATCATGACTAGTGTGACAATGTCACGGTCACAGCGCAATGCCTTGATGCCCGGAAGTATCTGCAATCTGCAGTATTCCCCTGCAATCTAATCATCATTAGTACGAGGGGTGGCTGACTGGCGGGGAATGGAAATGTGGAAATGTCATCCAAGTCGCCGGTCGCAGCTTCATCATCGGAAGAAAGTGCCGCCCGGGATCCCCGTCTGGCTGGAATGAAGTACATTGTATGGAGTACACTCGGCATTCAATATGTGTTTACTGTATAGTCTGTATAGTATTAGGGTGAAGAATAATGATGAATCCCTGTGACCTGACTGACACTCTTGCTGACTGATCCCATCTCCACTGGCACTGACGTCTTGGTGTGTCAGTCAGGGTTGCTGCTCAGTCCTTTCCCCCTCCGCAGCACTACTGCAGCTTCACTGCATCACCACCACCTTCCTGTCCCAACAAGGAACGTCTTCCCCGAAGTCCGCCTCACTATTGCTGGTCATACCCTTCGTACTCCAATATGATCACTCACATCGTCCAATTTCAGTTCAAAGCCTCTCTCGCCCCCGAAAAGGTCCAGGAGGTGAGTCAGCATCCCTTACGTCATCTCCAATCCACGCCACAGGCAAGTGATGACTGACTGACTGTTTTCTTGCTAGACATGCGCTCATCTCGTCTCCCTGAAAGACAAGTGTCTACATCCTACCACCCAGCAGCCATACGTCAAGTCATTCAAAGCGGGAAAGCAGGATTCGCCGGAGGGTAACCATGTAGGTCATCTCTGCCGAAGTCGTTGGATTGGGTGAGATCAACGCTAATAATTGGCTAGAATGGAATCACCCATGTATTCGTCATGGAATTTGAGTCCGATCAGGACAGAGAGTATTATCTCACCAAAGACCCCGCGCATCTAGGCTTCGTCAAGACCCTGGATGGTCTGATCGAAAAGTCCCAGGTGGTGGATTTCACCGAGGGGGTCTTCTAACCCTTCCGCGGACACGAAGCCCTCAAATATACTAAACCGGTATGAATATGCAAGAATAAAGACGAATACATGAATGTACATATGATTCAGCAAGCGAAGAAATCAACTTTTAGTGGTGTCCTGAATCCGTTTGAATTTCCGACCGTCGCGTCGCCGCCAGCATTACCGATATGGATTTCTCTAATCCAGCCTCTCCTCCGGCGTAAGGATCCAGCTGGGCAAACACAACGCCGCAGTCACCGTGGCAAAAACTAGCTCATTAGTGAATGCCCGCACAGAGAGAGATGTACTTACCTGGAATGAACTGATATCCGTACTGCAGACTCGATCGGATAACAGCCTGCATACCCTCCGGCAGCGTATCGACATAGCGTGCGTCACTCAGAACCTGGCGGGCAATCTACTTCTGTTAGACTGCGATAAATCAATACACTGCAAAACATACTTCTGGTGTCCTCTGCCCAAACTTTCCGGCAATATCCTGCATAAATCCCCTCCGCACCAGTAACGGTGCGATGGATCCGCCAAGAATTACCCCCAACTGCTGGCTGAGATAGTATGCCCCGACACACGAGGCCATATCTTCCGGTGGTGCACGACCGGTCATGCCAATAAACTCGCCCGATATGATGATACCGATGGGAGTGCTCATCGGAATGACGAGGAGCGTTTCCCAGACGGGGCGGTCGAAATGCCACGAGAAGAATAGCAGAGTGGATGCAACTATGCTAATCGCGGCGGAACCGAGGCTCATCTTCTTGTACCGTTTTGTCCTAAAGAATCAGCATGAGCACTCGGAGAAGTATACTGTGACTGACCGTTTGATGGAGAACCCCGAAATGATCGAACCCATCGCCAGAGCCATGGTGCTCAGAACGAGGAAGAAAGTTGCCCCTTCCTCCTGCATTTGCCTCACTTGTGTCAGGTATTGTGTGATGGTGGTGGTGACCTTGGCTTGTCAGTAAATTGCACAGCACAGGGCTCGTTACGACCTACTCCGCATCGTCCGCTAAACAACACTACTTGCACCAGCCAATACTGCCCGACACCCTTGGTGACCAGTCGTAACGGTACCAGGGGCTTTGTTGCCCATAGACATTCATGGCAGACAAAAGCCACGGTAGCTAACGCGCACACCCCAAGCAGGGCGTACACTGTGGAGAGCCTTCCATCAAGTGTTCCAGCTGTTGTCAAAGCTAATAGTAGAGTGAAGACTGCAGCCGCGAAACTGAAGATGCCGAAATAATCCAGGCTTCTCAGCTTGTCCATCTTAGATGTCTCCGCGACAGGAGTGGCTGCCCGAGGCTTTGTAGGGAACTGCACCCGCGATAGAAACAGACACAGAACAATAAGAGGTAGCCGACCGGTGAAAGCCCTGTGCTATTAGCCGTACTCAAGGAACTAGACAGAAATTCTTACCATCTCCAACCTAGTGAGTTCACTATAACACGTCCCAGCGGAGCTCCGACACCCCTCCCGAGCATGTTCACGACGTTGGTATAGCTGCGCAATAATGCGACCTCGCTGGGCGCCGCCAGATCTATACACATTAGCTTCCTCGTGAAATGAAGGCGGGACTGCATCGCACCAGTTATGATGATGGATATCATAACCACCATGCCAGACGATCCCACACCGCTGATAATCCGTCCGGCTATCAATTGGTTCATTGAATTGCTGAGAGAGCTGCTCGAGTCAGCGGCATAACGATCGAGTCAGTTAGAGTCCACCGACCTGATCAGGCAGCCAAGAGCGAAGACTAGGTATCCGAGAAGCATCGATCTCTGGCGTCCCAAGGTATCTGCGAGGGTGCCGTACTGCATCCGTCAGAACCGGACACTTTCATTGCTAACTTATATTGCTTACCACCGGCAAGGCAATGCAATAGCCCAAATTGTATCCCGTCACCAGCCATGATGCTTTTGACAGCTCATGGAATTCAGACGCAATGATATCATAAGTTGCAACGACAAGAGATTCGTCTGTGCTGGCCAGGAAGGCACCTATCTGTGTCAGCGATCGTTTAATCCAGTGAGTGAGCAGGAATACCTAGGTATGCGATGAAGATGGCCAGTCCGGTACCCCGAGAAATCCTCCCAGTTGTCTCATTATTCTCCCGATTGGATGAAATCCCGTCTTCGGGACGTGGAAGTAACCGGGTGGTCTCATCAGAAGCCATGACCATCAAGGAGATTGAATTGGGTGTAGACCAGATGAACAATTGAAGTGGGATGAGAAGAAGTAAAGAAATGAAACAGATAAGCCGAGCTTATCAGGCAGCATCAGTCTGAGTGCCTTATCGGCAGCTAGACCTCGATGTGACTCATCAGAAAGCATCCTTGTTAAGTAACTGTTGATTAACGAGGGGAGGTTGTCTATGCTATGCTGGGGAAAGGATTCGACTAAAGGCAGGTTACCCCGCTAGCACGCGATCGGCGATAGGCTTGATGCTATCTCGGCCGACGAGCAGATGTCGATTGTATAAACAGAGGTGGGCTATTCCCGCCGCTAGTTGGTGTCAGGAAGAGACTAGAAAGCTGTTCCTGGGCTGAATCTTTAGTTATTCATTAGCGTACCATGGCCTAGTCAACCAGGGGAAAGCCATGTGTCGGCTGTCTGTCTACCACTATCCTCGCTGTCCTTAGCGTACACCTTCTCAAGCCAGCAGACTAATATATTCCTCGTGGCTCTACAGATTGGACCCTGCATCCTAGTAGCTTCCCTGATACCTGTCAACGATGTCGAAAGAATGTCCGTTTCTCATAGACGTCGAATTTGGATCAGCCCTGTTATCGAAACAACGTTTGCAGGCATATGCAGGCTCTGTCAATTACTTCCTGTTAGTAGAAAAGTCCTATGGAACCCTACTATCTTGAGTTTGACATTTGTCAACTCTGTGGTGCAGCTTCGGCGAAACAGCTCTTGTGCTATTAACGATCGAAGGTCCTTGAGAAAAAACAAAAGTTCTGGTGGAGCTATACCTCCTATCCGCATGTAAATTGAGTTTCCAATCGCCCGTGGTTCCAGCCTTTGGAAGTGATCATAAGTCGGAAAAAGGGTAATGTTCTGGCCTCGGGACTTTGTATTGTCCGAGATCTGGCACCCGCTGTTTGGTCAATTTCGGGTTTTACTACCACCCGAAGGTTCTTATATAAAGTCTCAACTCTGCCGTATGTCCACTCCTGTTCACATTCAATAATAGAACATAATCTTCGCAATGTCCCGATTACTCTCACAAGCTACAAGCATACGAAAACCCTTCTCCCCACTGACATTTCTCAATCCACGCCACTCCTCTCCAGTCCGCACCATCGCCACCATAAGAAAGCCCGCCCCGATAGCCATTGTCGGCGGTGGTCCATGCGGACTAACATTCGCGCGCCACCTCGAGACAGTTGGTATCGACTACGTCGTATTCGAACGCGATACCTCGCCAGAAAATGCACTGCAATTCCAAGGTGGCACACTCGATCTTCACGGGGACACAGGCCAAGAAGCACTGCGGCGAGCAGGCCTAATTGAAGAGTTCGAGAAGCTGGCCCGTCGAGATGCAACGACTGTGATAGTGCAGGATTTCCGTGGCAATTTGCGCAAGAGATTTGGTGAAGGTCGCGATGCCCCTGAAATTGACCGCTTGCAGCTGCGACAACTGCTGCTGAGTTCGTTACCTGCGCATCGCATCCGCTGGGCCAGTGCACTCCAGGGGATTGAACGGTCCAGTAAGGTCGGCTATGGACATGGTGCAGACTGCACACTGCAATTTGCCGACGGTTCAACGGAAAGCGGTTTCAGGCTCGTTGTCGGTGCTGACGGTGCGTGGAGCAGGGTCCGCCCATTGGTATGTAGCCATCCATCCACTATCATTATCACACCAACTGACATATCCCACTAGATAACTCCTGCAAAACCACAAGACTCTGGAAGAATGTTCATTGAAGGTCGCATATCACCCGGCAACCCACAGTATGCAGCAGCACATGAAATGGTAGGCGCTGGCAACTCTCTCGCCATGACCCGAGGCTGCACCCTGTCCATACAGCAGATGTCCGACCGCTCCTACCGCGTCTACATGGGTCTTGAAGTCCCTTCTACATTTACCAAACCTGGAGGCGAAGCCGACATAACCAACCCTGAGAAAGCGCGCGCCGCAGTACTGAAGTATTACGCTGAGTGGGCGCCGCACCTCCGCGCCTTCGCCGAAGCAGCAGAGGGTCCCTGGCGTCCATGGCCACTGCACCGACTTGACCCGGATATTTTTCTCGATGGAAGCCCGAACTGGACGCGAGTCCCTGGAGTCACGCTGCTCGGAGATGCAGCGCACCTGGCGACGCCGAATGGCGACGGGGTCAACATTGCTATGTATGATGCGTTGGTATTGTTCGATGCCCTCATGGCTGAGACGAAGAAGCGCAGCGACAGCCAACAAGCAGATGAAGACGCAGCAGCAGTAGAACGCGCTATTGATATCTACGAAGCAGACATGCGTGCCCGCGGACGAGCGCATATTGTGGACTCAATCGAGATCGAGGATATGATGTTTGCGGAGGATGGAGCAGCGCGTATGCATGCGATGATTAACCAGGTTGAGGCCCACACGTAGGTTCTGCCTAAGTCTTTATCAGTAATCACTGGATAGTACATAGATATAACCATACACTTTAATTCAACTATACAGAGCTTCGCAATACATAGCTACCCATCGATCACTGCCCCGCACACCCGATATAGTAAAGTAAGCAACCTGGTACTAACCGTACCCCACTAAGAGCCAATATTCCTCGGGAATATTCTCCTTTCTTCATCCCCAACCCCCTCATTCCCCTCACCACACACCATCATCACCACATCACATCCCTCTTCCAACCAACTACATCCATCCCCTCAAAGCAACCTCTTAGTCTCAAGAAAAACCACCAAAATGACCACAGACGGATATACCACCCTATCAGAAACAATAACAACCTACTTCACCTCCATCGACGCCGGCGACCTCCCGACCACCATGTCGCTCTTCTCCCCCACCGCAACCTTCACCGTGGTCACGGCAGGCAACGTAACCTTCACAGGCCGGGATGCTATCCAGGCCATGCTGGACGATTTTATCACTCAGTCTACCTCAATGGAGCACCGGGTGGTGAGCATGGTTGTTGATGAGAAGGCGGGGAAAGTCGCCACGCAGCAGCGATACATTGGAGTGCCAGAGGATGGGATACAGAGGGATATGCTTAATTGTAATTTCTTTGATGTGGATGAGCAGGGGAGAATTGAGAAGGTCATGGTTTGGATGAGTGGGGGGAGTCCGTTAGGGTAGATTGTTTTGTGTGGTGGTGTTTGCTGCGAAGATTAAGCAATCTAATCGTTGGTTAGTGAAGGATAACGCCTGGCCTGGACGAGAAGCAAGAGGATATTGTTTAGGATGTTGCACACTACGTACCACAAAGTTGAAGGATTATGGGAATGTAGTAGCTATCGCATTCTCTCCTGGGTAGATAAGCGAACGGCCGTGCAAGGTGTATAGCCTGCCTCTTTTCAATGCCCTTTCAAACCCTTTCTCATGCTTCTGGCATATATCAAAACCTCTAATGTAGCAAGTAAAGAATCCCATGCTCAGCGAGACAAGCGTGGACCGAACTTGGAACCAATCAAGAGAACTACCAGCCTTGCCGGAGTAATCATTTTTGTTCAAACCACCGTCCACACAATCGGTTGCATCGCACTGTTTCACTACCTTTAGCGTGTAGTCATCGTTGCATGGTAGATAATGTCGTTCCACGCGCCTACGGTATTGACTTTCCCATTACTATAGCCCGCAGCGCGTAACGCATCTCGGATGGCGGAGTCGGCGTCGCCTGTTGAGATTGGGCAAGATAATTAGTACTTATTGCTGAAGAAAAACATGGATAATCAAGCTGCATATTTTTACCCCGGTTACTCTGTGTCTTGGCGCAGTAGTCGTAGCCTGGCTTGCAATTGGCGGTGCCGCCTGCATGGCACTGTGATTGTGCTGCGGCAAAGCCTGCCAGAGCCATGGTGGCTGCGATGAGAGCAGTAAAGCGCATGGTGAGGTTGTATCCTTGGAATCATGGTTGCGAAAGCTTGATTGCGTTGGGTTTCAAAATGAAGGTACTGGTTGGCGGCGATGGTTTGTATGAGTTAAGGACCTATGCTGAGGACAGGTAGCCATCGCCATCACCAATAATTGCTTCCCCTGCTTCTAGTAGGGCAATAGCTGTCTGCATTAGACCGGATAATCTCTGAGCTAGTAGGCGTCGTATCACTGTGACGTCTTGGTGGACTACGATGTTGAGTGCACTAAATGAAGACCTACAAGTCTTGGTATAGCGCTTGCTCTTCTCCTCATGAAAGCACACCTATACCACATTATCAATGCTCATATAGTTATGGAAAGTAACGTCACATGCACCTATCGACTTACCCTGGAAGTATTTCCCGTGGGGGGTCCACGATGCCCATTTAGATCGATAGAAGAACGCAGCGTACGATGTTTTGACCGATCAAATAGTGAACTATTAGTGTAGTATTTCCCTGATACAGAAATTTGTCAGTGCCGGAGATAGACGATGTAATAATAATCTGATTAACTGGCTTCTTCTCGACATCCCTGTCATCCTTCATGTGTTTCGAGTTCCAGCCTCGTGCTTGGCCATGCCTCAACCTCGCCAAGCCCCGTCCCGTATTATCTCCGCACCAAGTCAGCAGCTGGTTGGACCAGCAGTCCCTTGCTTGAAATGAAGTGGCGCCCAAGTGGAGTTGGCGGCAGGGATCAGCCTCGTATCAACACTTATCCACAAGAGACCCATGGTAGGAATGCTTGAATCGCTTCCACGACATGAGTGTTTACAATACTTTAAATCAACTGAATCATGCTACAGCCACCCCGATAACCTTTGGACAAGTCATTTTACATATTGGATAACCCACCCAGGGCACCATCAACAACCACGGTAATACAGCCTTGCCGTCAGCGTCTCAAGCACGCAAAGGATCAGGCTATGCAGGGATTGACGGTGGGCTGTGCCGCTGCGACAATCCCTTGCCCAAAATGTCCTTACTTATACCTGAGGCTCGAACCGCCCCCACGTCAGATATTTTTGACGATGTGAATACCGTTGAGGGAACAACTGACAGACGGTGGTGCTGCTGGTGCTCCCGGCCTAAATTCGTCCAAAATGTTGGGCAATATCTTGCCGAAAGGAAAAGCCTTTGCGCGCCTACCCGGGAAACGGCCATCTACAGATGTGAGGAGCGCGTCTAGTGAGAATGATGGCGACGCGCTACCTCGGTATGCGCGGCAGCAACATATGTGGTCGCCCGTTATATTACGCTCCGTGTCTCTGGCCGTGTTTGTGGTGCTATTCATATGCTTTATTATTGTTATCGAGGTGTTATATTCGGTATCTACTCGGAAGGAAGGCTTGAGCACGAGTGAGGAAAGATATCATTATCTGTGGACCTATGGCCCGACCGCAGGTAAGACATTCTTTGCTTATTGTCCTTCTGATGGAACATGCTGATCCTGTAGTTCTTACAATTGTCGCGGGGTTCTGGGGCCAGGTCGAATATCGAACGAAGCAGCTTATGCCTTGGAAGCTCATGAGTCACGAGCCAGAACCTGCAACACGATCCTTGCTGTTGGACTATGTGTCTGACTGGAATGTGGTCATCCTATTTCGCGCCCTGAAGCAATCCTCCTGGGCTGTTGTCCTTGCCGTTCTCGGAACACTGCTCATCAAGCTAATCACCGTGGTCTCGACTGGTCTGTTCATGTTGCAAAATGTCTACATGAAAGATGTCCCAACAACACTCACGACGCAAGCGAGCTTTAACGGTGCTGGGTATAATGGTTCCAAGGTCGATGGAACGGCTGCAATGGTTGTAGCTGGGGCTTGGTGGCTTAACCTGTCATACCCGTTAGGATCGACCGATAAATACGCCTTCCTACCGTTCACAACCTCCGGCAAGAAACTCGGTGGGACTAATTGCTCCACTACCAATTAGAACGAGTCACTGACTTCTTTCCAGGTGCCGATGCTGTCATTTCAGGAACAGTCGACATGTTCTCTGCTGATCTTCAATGCGACGTAGCCACGGTCGCGAATTGGACTTCGGGTTGTAGCACACAAATGTGCGAGTACGATGAACTCAATATGACGCTCAGCACCCCTTCCTGCTCGAAGTACCCGTTCACAAGCTTTGAAAGAAGCTCCTCTTCGGTTGGGGGATACTATGCCGACGTATTCAGCGCCACATGTACGGATACGGCGGATAGTCGGAATGGCGAACGCCTAATCTTCGCTGCCGCCCACTGGTCTGAGAACATCACCAGAATTCAAGCGCTCGTTTGCAGTCCTACCTACACAATATCGCAAGGATCCGTCTCGCTGCTCTACGGCAATCAGAGTGTGATTAGCATCCAACCATATAATAATGATTCTAGCAACAGAACAATCACAGGGTTTGAGGGTATGGAGTTGGGAACAGGACTTATTTCCTCCCTATCGTTGGCTGAGAACACGTTGGATACGCTGAACTACGTGGATACGTCAACGCATGCCCTTACAACCTATCAATACAACCTTTCGGACCCAAACAGCACCTATCCGAGTGCATTTTACCTGGTCGCTAATTTGACCTCTCCCCATACGATGAAAGACTTACTGGATGCTTCAATCTTGGAAAAGGTTTCCCGTCCGACATTCAGTGCTATGGCTACCCAGATAGCAAGGCAATATTTACTGTCTTCTGCGGACGAGAACCTTGCAGGGACATACTCCGCCCATACCCAGAGAGTGGTTGTCAGGGAACTCTCAGTCCGAATAATGGAAGCTACCCTAGGAGTCTTGATTATCCTGACCGCAGCGCTATGGATCTGGAGACCGGTTCGCTGCACGTCGCGTGATCCTGGCACAATTGCTGGGCTAGCAAGCATGATGAGCCGCAGCCCGAAAGTGTCCGAACGGCTCACAGGCTGCAAAAACGCCCAAGATCTCACCACAAACCTATCAGATGGGAGGTTCTACACCCGTGTCACAGACAGCGATGGCTGGAGAACATTTGGCATCGAGGAAGACCAGAAGGCAACCGAAGCGACTCGTCCTGGAGCCAGCTCTGGCCCTCTGACCTGGTGGCGGCCAATTTCAGTGAATGTCTGGTGGTGGATCATATCTATAGTACTCCCCCTTCTCATTATTGCGGGGTTAGAAGCATCCTTTCAGGTTTCCTCCCATCAGGATGGACTCGGAACTGTCACCTCAGGTGGCTACATCCACTACGTCTGGGCCTATTTGCCGGCACTAATATTCCTTATCGTCCGCATTTTCTTCGACTGCATCCACTTCTCTGCCATGGTATTCCAGCCGTACCTGGAGCTCCGACAGGGTGGTGTGACCGCACCGGGCAGTCTTATGGAAAACCACCTGTCTAAGCTGACCTTGTTCTCATTCTTTACCGCAATCAAGCGCAGACAGTGGGCCGTGTGCGCAACAGGATTTACCGTCCTTCTAGCTCCTGCGCTCACAGTGGCGGTCAGTGGGCTGTATTCAACACAGGACATTGTATACACGCGTTCTGCTTCAATTGCACGAACTGACACCTTCAACACCACCATCAGCCCTCTTTCTTCCACCACCACTGACCCCGGTCTCGGCCTCACAGGAGCCCTTGTAGTGGGAGCTAATTTATCATACCCCGCTTGGACGTATGACGAGCTCGTTCTCCCTACGCTCAGCGAAGCATCCCTCACCGATAAAGACGGGGTGGTTCAAACCAATTCCTCCTCTTTTAATAGCACCTCCGACAGTCCGATCCTCCTTAACGTCACCCTCCCAGCTCTCCGTGCCAACCTCACCTGCGAAGCACTCCCCCAAGACATTGTTTATTACATCAGGTCTGCCGAGGATTCCTTTTCCATGTTCGATCTGCGCATGCAGCTCGACAAGAAATGCCAAGGTGTCGACACCTCCACAGACTTCACCATATCAACCGACTATCCCAACGCAACACGCACTACATTCGGTGCCTTCAAATACCTCAAAGATGCAATCGATTTTGGCGACTGCCCGGCACTGATGGGATTCTACGGTGTAATAGATGGCAATTCCACAGCACAGATCCGCGGCTTCACCTGCAACCCGCAAATCGACGAAGTCGATGCGACAACCTCGTTGTCACTCCCCGGTCTAGACATCCAGTCTGCGACCGCGGACGACTCCACCAGCCGAGTCTTTTCAACAAACATCTCCACCACCCTCAAATTCGAAAGCTTCCTTTCCCAGCCTGTCAACAAGCAAGACCAAGCGTTTGACGCCTTTTTCTCCGCCATGCTCAATGACCAAAAATCCCTCTCCTTATCCGACATCACTGACCCATCCCATTATTCCACTGTCATCAACGCAACACAACATCTCTACCGCACCCTGATGGCACAGTCTATGAATGGCAACGCACGAATCCCATCCAGTGACAACCGAACTACCTTCCCTGGCACAATAGTAGACCCGAATCGTACCCGTCTTACACAAAGCGCCATATCTACCCGCATCCTTGAAGCTTTTCTCGCTGCTATGGTCGTGTCCACCCTAGTCGCATCCTACTTTATGCAAACCAAAGAAGTCCTTCCTTTCAACCCATGCAGTATTGCTGGCGCGGGGGCGCTCATTGCTGGATCGGATGTGCTGAAGAGTGATACATTTCCTGCTGGATCAGAATGGTGCGATGATAGGAAAATGCTTCGAAGGGGGTATTTCTCAGGATTGGTGTTCGGGTTAGGATGGTGGGCTGGAGACGACCCGAGATTTGGGATCGATGTGGGGAGGGCGACAGAGGAGAGGGAGTAGACTTCCTTTTTATTTTTCACGATTTATATGAACATAATGAAGATTTACCATTGACATGATAAGCATTTGTCATATGGTACAGAATTATCAAAGGGAATAAATTCCTTCTACAGACTACCAGCGATTTATATACCATTGCTCTCGCCTGTCTATAAATCCTTTAGAAATACCACTCACCTATCTAGTTCATTTCCTGCAAAGCGAGATGAGAACAATCTGTAATATACATAATTACATGCATAATCTAGACTATCATTAACCGAACCACCCATCCACACATCACATCACGTATTACCCATCCAACTCATAACAAGGTTATTTACAACAACTACTGCTCCTGCTCCTGCCCAGTATAACAATACAAACCGTCGATATACATCATAGCAATCTCGTGACTACCACTAACTCCCCTGAGAACCGGATCGCCTTCGGGATTGTCGTACAGATCACAGGTAGCAGAAGTGGAGAAGTAAGAGTAATCGCCGCTTTCACAGCTATGTTAGCACACTTTAAGATAAAAAATACGAAAGGGAGGGCGGGTGCCATACGGGCGATCCAGTCCAGTAAGCTGCTGCAATTCAACCCTCTGTTGGTAGGTGTCGGATGCACTGGATGCGTATTTGATCCGGTGAATGGACCTAGGAGAGGAGAAGGGGAGTGGAAGGGGGAATTCATATTATCAAAAAGGAGGCGGTAATCAGCAGTCAGGGTGAGATTAGGCTGGGAGACTTTTGAGGAGTTTTCTCTGTATGAAGTAGCAATTCGAGGGATTCTTGGAGAGAGAAATAATAGTGGGCGATCCACTTTAGGAATATCCATAAACACGTCTAAGCATATATATTATTATATCCATCCATCCCCTGCATATAGCGTACACACTCATTGATCAACATGCCCATTCATATATCCAAATCCATGACATAACTCATTTACAGCAGCTCTTCCTCCTGTTCATAGGTGTAGCAGTACACAGCTTCGATGTACGTCGAAGGAATCTCGCTGCTGCCACTGACCTTCGAGAGAGTGGCGTCGTCCTCGCTGTTGCTGTACAGATCGCAGATATCGGGGGTAGAGAAGTAGGAGTAAGTACCGCTGCATAGATACAATTAGTATATGTCTGGACGGTTTAAGTATTTGGAAGTGGGGATGGGATGGGGGGAATGTCGTACGGATAGTCGAGCTTCTCAAAGTCTTGCAATTGCACCTCTTGCGTGTAGGCGTCGTATTCGCTGGTGCCGTATTCGATCTGTGTGCATTATGGTCATATTAGTCTTTGTCTCCGTCACTTCAAGATGCAGAGGAGGTAGCAATAACGTACGTTAATCAATTGGCCGACAACGCCGGAGGCGAAAACGGCCAGAGTAGCGGCCAAGACAGACTTGTTGAAGAACATTTTGTTTTTGTTGTGGTTGTGTAGGGGGCTGGACAAGAGTCAGGGTTTGAATTGACACAGATGGATAATTTTTTAATTGTGTGAGTGGTCTATTGCATCCGGTGGGTGTATTTGGAGGGGGTTTAAGTACTATTGAAGAGGCGGCAGGTTTAGTATCCCTCTATGATAACGCTTCAATAGTCTCGCCAGCTGGAGTGCCTTTTTGGGATGGTTCTGCTGGCCTGTTTTGTCGATCCGGATAATTGCTCGGAGCCGTCGGGGGAACTCGATGCCGGAAGCTTGATATTTGTAGCTCTTGGCTAGCTTAAGTTGGTGATCGACAGCTGGGCTGAGATTTAGATCGAGTGTTTCGAAGGCTTGGTATGATGCTATCGGGGATTTCTGAAGACATGTAACCATGTCAATTGTGATGCCATGGCTTAACAAAAATTCAATTATATCATTACTCAACTGTATTTCACTGCAATGGTGTTATATTCGCAGTGAACAGGAGTTTCTGCCATCGCTGGGGACAATCGGTGGACGCGTGCACGCGGGCCATCCAGAGGCATCCGCCGCACTAGTGCGATAGTAGCCGATCTCGCCAGCCACTATATGTCCATCGCGACGATCAGCGCTACCAACACTTTGAGGTCCTCGTGTTTGTGTCCCTCGCGATGGCAGACATTTGGCAGTCCGTGCATGAGAAGAGTCGGTCAACTAATTCAATTCCAGGATCGGAGAATATCTAGCTAGTTGCCTGTCTAAGGTCGGCAGTTACTGTCATCATTTACCGGCAGGATGGATGGAGGTGTGTACAATAATTTGTTGTTATCTTGAAGTTAAGGTTACTAGCTAGCTAAGGTGGCTGGACGGACGGGGAAGCTTGGTTTATTCTAAGGGGACTATATGCTGATCGGCTATAGATCCGATCCTGGGCGCCATAGAGCGAGTTGGCAGGCGTAGCCATGGCTATTGCGCGTAATGAAAATAGTGAATAACGCATAACTCTAGGCGTTGTACGCCATGATGGAGAACAAGTTAGATAGGATTTTTATCAGAGTAATTGAATGGCGATCAGAATGTGCTACTAAGAGGTGCCTTGGGTTTCATAATATTCAATGTAGTCTAGTTGTGCTTTTGCCTCAAAGAACAAGTCATATCACAAGACCCTTAAATGCATATTATCCTGAAGTTCCGGGACCAACTAATTATAGCAGTGACAGCGTGGCTTTCGTGAGGAGCTATTGCATGGTGGCACCTTTCTCATCACACCAGTCACCTGCGTCAAGACAGAAAACCTTTGGAGCCGGTTATGCAGGATCATATGAATGAGCACCAGGAGGGACATATAAGCTGATGGAGCTTTTACTATACGAAGTCTGTTAAATGAAACCCGAAAACATACTTCCACGGCGCGGCCAAGACTTACGGGTTGATCTCGCAGGTGCCAATATTGTGGAACGTGGTGATGAGGCCTCTGGTGTGGTTGTTATTACCTCCGCTTTTCCAACATGGTTTATATATCATATTCTATATTCCTGAATGAAAAATGCATATGGGTAGTCAAGGTCAACAAATTCACCACACGGTACCTCTTGGGTGTGGTCAACGCCGTCCGAGGTATAGACAATCTCTAAATGTTCATATACACATCCTAGAGATAAATGGAAGAATAAATTTTATTGTATCGTGTTCATAGGGATGGTACGCTGTGGACATACGTCTAGGGGCTCACTAAAGACGCCAGATGAGAGCGCCATTGCAGGGGCTAGGATATATGTGGGGAGTTGCATTGTGAATGTTCGTATAGGGATTGCGTAGGTGTGAGGTGGATCGCCTGATTTGAGATGAATTGATAATTAAAGAGTCAGGCTACACCTCGAACATGTTAAATTTTTGTGTTCATGCCTTGAATATTGTGGATTACCGGACGGCTTCACATGCCCAAGTTGCATTCTCCGCAAAAAGGGTTGCACGAGACAACCGGAGCATGGTAGACACTGTAGGGAATGGTACACTGCAATTAATATCCCCTTTTCGAGTAGTGATGAGGGAAGTAGTACTAGCGCATGCAATTAAGAAACAATGCAACACATGCATCAGTCGCTGACATCTTAATGTCAAAGAATTCGGATGTATTTCTCGGGTCTGCTGCGACGGGGGTAGCCGACAGATCTGATGTAAACTAGTGACTGACAGCGCGCCGGCCATCAGTATTCCCCTACTTGAGAGGGATCTAAACCGGCTCAAGTCAATTGTTCGCGGACATTCCGAGAAGGCTGAATTAAATTTTAAATGCAATGAGGTACATTTTTTGTGTCAGAACGATTTTCATTTTTATAATTAGGTATAGCATAATTACAGCTAAAGTAATTCCCGGCATGTGTATATCCCTTCAAGCTGGAAATGACTGGTGACCAAGGCCGACAGCCCCAATAAAACCCAGAGGTGAGCAATTATGGTGCTATGCTTTGCTGCTTCACTGGAAAATCCGTTCGTATGAGTTGCTGGATCAATGTCATATCGTGGCTTTGCAGTCAAAGTTACAATGTTGATAGATCCCACGGAATACAAATTTCCATTGTCGACTTTTGCGATGGTTTGAAGAAAAGTCATTAAACCTTAGCAACCGTCTGTCTACTTCATACATGAGCAAAGATTCTCCGTAGGCAGTTGATCCCTACTATGCACCCTCAGCTGACACGTAGAACTACCCAGTAGCACTTCAAAAACACCGAAAATGCAGCAAAATTGGAATCTATCTTACTTTATCTGGACTAAGTTTTAGTGAACATTCCATCGAAATGGATACATCTTGTTGCCAAGAACCTTCTCTCCTTATCACCAATTGAGAGACAGATACGGAATATGTTGCCTATACATGTGTCATTGAAGCATGTTATGATTAAAACTATGGCATTCTCTGTAGCTGGCCACCATTACTTCACAGGACTTTCAATCTGGCCTTCCATCAAATTTCCCACATACCCTTGCATACCCAGCAGTCTTTCAACATGGCGTACAGAATTCTGTACCCGGATGCGTGGATACAATGCACCGTCAAAGAAACCAATGCATTAATCATATCACGTCAAGCCGGCACTTATCTAGTTGGAAGAGGGGTCTTGGCACTGGACGGATGCAGCGTTGACTGGAGGGTCGATGTTCGTCGCACCCGCTGCAACATAGTAGACCTCCTGGCCATAGTAGCTATAGCGGTGGATGTTAGTGACAAGTCCAGTTATAACCACTCCATTGGGAAAGATGATATTTACTTGAAGAGATAGCAGTTGGCAGTGTTCTGGAAGGTGCTAATGGATCCACTGTGGAGTTGTTAGCGTCGTACTTGTAGAAGGTCTTTAACGAGATGAGGAACGTACGGCTGAGTCAACGGAGTACGTTGGTAAGGCTCGACCTGCTGGTTGTAGTAAGCGCCATTGGAGGTGTAGGCGATCTAAATCCATATTGGTTAGCAGATGGACAAAGAAGAGATCTCGAGACATGGATGCCGAATGAGCAGGTGTAAAATGATTGGTTTCTCCACATACATCGACTGTGCTTGCAACAGCGCTGGAAGCGAAGAGAGCAAGGGCGGTAGCCACGATAGACTTGGAGAACTGCATTGTGGATATGTAGTTGTCTTTGAGGACTTTGTTGTATGTGATTGTGAGGTTGATTGCAATGGATGATACTTTGTTTCTGGTGGGATATCTCAGCCATTATATAGTCTTGAACGGAGTTATAGATTTCATTACCGAGGAGTAGACATTAGGCCTACCATCTAGCTGATTCTACCCTGCAGAGCCAAGAATACCCGGAAACCCCGGAGGTCCTCTAGGTGTAGAATAATTGCATGGAATATAGAATTCCATTGGATATGTTTTGATCAAATGCTCATAGAAAAGTGACATGACATCTACAAGCAGACAACTATCTGATGGCTGCAGATACGAAGGTCCCGATTGCTTTTGCCAGGCCATGATCGACACCCCGGCTGCTTCCGAGTGGACTTCCCCGCGCCTTACCGGGAGCCACAACACTAAAGCCCGACTTTCCTAAGTTTGCGCCTTTCTACAGTTGGAAACCATACTGATATTATGTGTCAGGTTTTCTGGGATGAACGATTAGAACCCAGCGCATAAGTATCACGTCCCTTGGGATACACAGCATATTGTCGGAGGGTTGGGCATCAAATAACTGCCCAGCCGATGCTCAGAATATGAATTTTCTGGTAATATAAGGCTTTCTTAGGGGACTGGCTTGGATAAAAGTTTCATTCTGCACATTGCTTTTATGTTCCATATACGGTAATTGTTTATTGTGTACTTGAGCAACAACAAAGGCATTGTGTTGCTCCCAAATATTCGAGTTTGGGTAAAATGGGCTACTGTGACTAGTTAAAAAGAACATGGAACATGGCCATCTAACAGCGGTGCAAAAGCATACTGAATACAGCGCACATTGGTGAGAATTTCCGTACTCGGACCCAAAGCCAGAGTGATGGGTCCGAACCTGCCCATATATTTGATTATCCAATACTTCATGCATGTATCGTGTTTAATCGACTTGACACTCAGCTGAGCCACTACCAACTTTTCCAGCCCCCCCTTGATCACGCCCAAGCTAGGACACCCACTCATAACTCAACACTGGAATAACAAAATCTGGCGCCGTACATGTCGCATTGAAATACTGATCATGCGTGCATGTCAAAGTAAAATCCGTACTACCAGAATAGGTAATCAGGCTACCATTTGCACATTCCAGCGCATGTCCATCTCCCAAGACATAATCCATATGCCCCGTGGAAGTCGCATAATTGGAGCTGCCATAGAAAGAGACGATCCTTCCCTCGCCCCGATCAGCGTATCCACAATTAGATGCTCCGTTTCCGATGTCATGAACTCGATACCCGATGTACTCGTCGTGGCAGGTCAACCCATCGGCAAAGTCGATATCAAGGGTTTCAGGCGGACCATATCCCCAGGGTTGGTAATTGGGCATTCCGGTCCAGCAAACATTGACCATGCTGCCGTTGCAGGTGGCAGGGTCGGGGGCACACCAGCCATTGCCGCATAGACAATCTTTGAAGTTGATGTCTGCCTGGTTATGGACGCAGTCTAGGCTCTTTGACCCGTTATACCAACGGAAGGTGGTAACTTCCCAGGTGGGGATAGGACATCCCTCTGGGGGAGTGATAGAGCGGGGGTGCAGAATGGCGGTGGACGAGGCTGGAAGAGCCACGAGAGTGGCAATTGTGGGGAAGACCAACATGTTGGGCATTCCAGAATGTAGCTCTCAAAAAAGCAAGCTGATGAGTCTGACCGGAAAGAGTGGGCTTTTCTTGTCCCTCCAGGGGGCTTTTATATCTCTTCACCCTGGCATCGACAGAATTTTATCCGCCTCGTATCTTGAAGAGAGATGAACGAAGAGAGCTGTTCGATTTGAGGAATCAGGGTCCTCTCCATGCACATCAGCTGGTAGAGGTGAGACATCGCGAATGAAGAGCGGAGGGAACCGACGGGTTTGAAACATTTGGCTCGCCTAAGCTATAAATGGTCGCGGTGGTTCCTTGGCATCGGAGATCCCAGGTCTTCCCGCTTACTGTCTCAACACGATTTTCCTAAAGAGGTCATAATGTCGGGAACACCGTAGAGTTGGCCACTTGATAGATCTCATCGTGAGGTTTTTTTTTGGTGTGCAAACGAGCTTTGGACTGTCCCGCACTCAGCGTGGTAGGTGCGGGGATGCCCAGAGACTAGCGCTTTAGAGGATCAATGAAGGCGAATTGAATGTAGAGGGTTGAGAATTGCATATTAGACGCAGTACTTGATTTGGGAACTTGAATATGCAAGAATTTTGAACAAGATTTCTGTTCATACTACTAGTAGTCATAGTAGTCATAGTAGTAGTGTCTTCTGAGGCTTATGCTAATGGTCATACTCCCGCTTATATATATCATGGCTGACGTGACTTTGACTTACAAGTAAAACCCTATTTATTCTGCAGAATAGTACCCCACTTGAAGAGATTGCTGAAAAGCCTGTTAATCAAATAGAAATGTTTCTCACAAGTATTATAGATATGCAAGCTAGAAACAACTGACATTTATTATTCTGTTACAGCAATGTTCCTTGGATAGTAGTAGTGAACAGTCGGCCGTGAAAGAAAGACAGGCCCCAGTAACCTAGCATAGGCCATCTACGTGTGTAGTGCTGAGTGAAAGAAGCATCTAGATTTCAGAGTGATTATAAAGTCGACCATGCATACTATCCATGAACTTATGCACAGATTACCTGTTGAAATTATCATAAGTCCTCCCGCCAGTCTGCTATGACGTCACCACATCCGAACCCGATCTTAAGCTGCCGAAATTGCTCGGCAGACCGATTCAACACTGAACTCGACTTTGGACATTTTGCGCCTTAATGTCCAAGCCTTTCAGCCAAATGGTGCTCTCGGATGCACGAGGAGCTCATATGAGAGTGGAAGGGACCCTGGATTAATCATACATTTTACACACGTCGACCATATCCCTCATCATAATCACTGCGCCCCGACCAGCTGGACAAATGTATGTATTTAGTAAGTACTGGTGATGAAGTCTCCAACAACTCAGTTTATGTCGCTAGGATAGGCGAACCCAATGCTGTCCATTACATTGATCATCAGTTATGCAAGGGACGCATGCTGCACATCTACAAAGTGAAATGTGGGGTCATATATGGGTCGATGCAAACTCGCCGAAGTATCCCCGAGCACCACCATGCCATGAACAATGAACAATTGAGACTATGAGATTTCCAAAGCTGCCAGCCTTCTGTAACGCTGCAGCAAAGTACTATAGTTATATACTGGACTTGCATTCCTGGGCTACAACAAAAGTGCAACCCCAATCCAACACACCCAAGCTTAAGCTTATCTCGCGGAACTGGAACCCATAAGCTTCATCCTCGGATCCTCACCGAGAACACCTTAACCAGTAACTCATCCGCCCCACCCCAACTCTTAAAAATAACTCAATCTTGCCCGCCCACGTTTAAGAACCCCGTTACCCCTCCATCCCCTCCTTCTCGCCCACAACATCCCCATTTGAACCTCCCATCACACCGTCAAAATGGTTTACACTATCGTCGTCCGTACGTTTCCCAAGCTCCTAACTCTATACCACTGGATCCACCATTGGCACGATTATACTGACATAGCAATGATGATAGACCTCCGCGCTAAGCCCGACGAGGAGAGCATCTCCAAGCTCCACGCCAAGCTCATCGAAGCCTCGGCCGTCTACTCCAAGGACAAGGAGACCCTGTCCTGGTTCGTCATGCAGAGCGTCCACGACAAGCAGGACTTCTGCATCGTCGAGCGCTACCTCAACGAGGGCTCCCAGAAGTACCACCTCGAGAACCCCTACTGGAAGACCTTCGACCCCTACGTCATCCCTCTCCTGGAGAAGCCCATGGACCTCAGACGCTTTGAGGAGATGGAGGAGAAGAAGGAGTAAATGTGCATACTATAAAAACTGGAATGGCATGTATATAGAGTGAATGATATTGTCCGATGCCGTGCGTCGGACGTTGTTCGGAATAGCATTTCTGTGCTCAATAAATGTTGCAGTGATACAAATACAACGTGAACTATCGCTATGATTATTTGCAAGCAGTGATTTGAGTTCAAAGTTGGTGTACACCAGAGCTCTTTCACAGGCCAAGCAGAAGGTAAAAATATCAAAGCTTTATCAACCAGCGATTCGGATATAATAGACATGTCCTACCTCCCGATCGATCAGCGATAGTCGTAAGGACGACGATGACAATAACGAACAACATCAGTCTACCCACGTCTATTCGTCTGACTAAAAAATGGACTCGACACATAAAACGGTCTCTCAGCGACATCTCCCTTTCCTCCTTCCCCATTACCACTACCCCCACTCTTTCCCATCAACGCCTGCATCCTCTCCCGAAAAGCCTCAATATCCTTCAACTTCCCTACTTCCTTCTTAACCCCCTCATCCTTAAACCTCGCATCCGGCTCCCCCTCAAACACCACCTCCAGCCCATCAATCCACTTCCTCCCCGAATCCCCACACGCACGCTTAATACTCTCTGCGCCCTCATTGATCATACTCTTCCAGAATGCCCCCTCCCCAGTCCCTAACACACCAGCATCCTCAAGCATCGCCACCGCACCAGCTACCCAATCCTGACAATTACCCACACCAAATTCGGGAATATTTGATGCGTCCTTTCCAAAAGAGGAGAGTAAGTTGTTCACATGTTCACTTTCTTCCTGGCGGAAGGTGATCAACTCACAACGTCCTCTCAGGACAGGGTCATCTTGCAAAAGTTGGACACGTGGATCGTAGATGAAATATTCGTCGGTGGGGTTACGGATGTGGTGCATTTGGCAGCTTGACGCGCCGATCTCGTATACCGCTATGCCCATGTGGGAAGGGCTGTCGCCGAGGGTGGCATCGCCGCGCCCGTAGATGTTGATAGAGATGGCGTGGGTGGGTGGTTGTTTTGGGGGGTTCATTTTTGGTCTTAGATAAGGTTATAGAGAGGTAGATGTTGACTGTATGGGTCTGTGATGGCCGAAGTTGAGATACTGGTTGCCTAAGTAGTTGCGTTGTCTTTGTTGGCAGCCTGGGCGTTTAATGAATGCGTCACGTGAAAGGTGACCTGGGGTGGAGTGGGAAGACAAGGTGGTTTATGTACGAAGTTTACAGCTGGGCGCTAATTTCCTATCTATATTGGCAGATTTTGTTCTCTACTTCACAGGTGTCTTCATACCTAGCTTGTATGATTATGGTTCAATGTCCAATTTGATTTACTATACTTTCCGACCCCATCACAGCCCAGCGGGGTTCCTAACCGGTTCCAAGCAAGAGCATGGAATCTTATGCTGTTGTTAGCCACAGACCAGCGAGATGTGAAGCAAGGCAAATTTTGATATATAGGAAACTCCACATGTGCTTTATTGATTGGAGCAAGAATTGTTCAGACAGGAAAGCAATTTTCGTAATGAACAAGGTTGCTGTGCAGAGTTTGATCATCATACGTACTTGGAGATGACCCTCCAAGCACTTGAACAACAAGTATTCGAAGATTAGGTAGGCTCACGATATATTATGATGATTTGGACAATGGCTCATAAACTACGGAACAACCACAAAAAGACAAAGACCCGGACTGCAAACCAAACATTGAGAGAGAAAGGAATGACCTGATTTGGAACAAAGCACTTCAGATAGAACAAAAGGTGCACAGAGTACTGTAATGAACGGCCTTATTTCAGGATACAAAGTCAAGACGATGAAACAAAGCATACTAGAGTAAAAAGAAATAATTTGATTGGTTTATGTTCAACATAAACGATGGAAGGTTCCCGGCTAGGTGCAGGTGTATCCCGGAATACCAGTCACTGACTCCGAGATAATTCCACCGGGAGGGTTACATCCCTTTTTACCGTTGTATTCGTAAAACCGCCCTACATACTGAATTAGTGATAGACCTGAAATGCTAGAGTACTGGTGCTTTTACATACCGTCAGCGCATTGGCAGTATGTTTCAGAGAGACCGCAACGAGGGGAAGCACTATGTTATCAGTCAGCGAATGTATCTCAAAAATGCAACAGACACTCATCATGGCCTTGAGATAGTATCATACAAGGGATAGCAACTGCTGGCAACGCCACGAGTCCCGAGGCCAGTTATTGGCGTGTCTTGGCCATCGCTGGTAGGGGCAGCCCGTGCTGCGAGCATGATAGTCATGATAGTGGAAATAATAAAGAGCTTCATTTTGGCGAGTAATATGGAGCGTTATGATGTATAGAACACAGTACAGTGAGTATATAATGTGGCTTTGATTGCATGTGAAGACATAACAGCAAGGGTTACAGCTGGTCTATATATCTTTTAGTCTGAAGTCCAATAAAACAAAGGGATTGAAATAGATTTGTACAAACAGATGGTGCCATGGATGAATAACCTTTGCTCAATAGATAGCACAACGGATGGATAGGCCATCGTGGGATAAGTTCCTAACAGTTGTAAATAGTTACCAATGGTATTATGGTCTCTGGGAAGAAAAGCAAAGAAAGTGGAAGATATTTTAGTTGACAACAAAGGATAGGATTCGAGCCTGACATCGTCTGAGTACTACTTGCGCATCTGAAACTGATGTCAGAAGGTGACTAAATTTGTCAAAACAGATCTAATTGCAAGGAGGCTAGTAATTGTCTACTCAGTAACTGTGCAAGCCTGCGTCTACTTCTACTTCGCAATAAATGCAGACATGGGTCTCAACGAGTCAAGTCCAACATACGCCTGGATAAATGACCTTGCCCGCCAATGCGCACACTATAGCCAAGAATAGCTGAAAGTGGAACACTGTTGATGTGTTTCAAGGAAGAGAATGTGTTGGAGTGGAAGGAGAAACTATTCTGGCGCTATCACATGACCTATCTTTGTAACATATTGGCCCGCTGTGAGGCAATCGATGTCCAACTCTCGGGACATCTTCCCATTCCAACCCACATACATTGAAGTAAGCTTCGTTGGCGTCCATAATGCTCACATCATGTTATACTTGCCGGCGTAGGCATGTCGAATGCCAAATGACCCTACCACCGTGTAAGAAGTGCCTAAAGGCAGGTCTAGAGTGCCTTCAAAAAAGACCCCTCCGTTGGGTCGACGGGCCGGCTTTTCGGAATAAATTGCGAACTTCACAAGCCCATCGCTTATATCAACCCAGCACATTCAACAAAGCTACTGACGAGGTATCTTCTATTTGTGATTCTGGCTTGGCAGCACCAACTTTCGAAGCCATAGCCCCTGGCGAAAGGAACGGACAGTCAACCGTTTCGCACAATAGAGGTCACAGCAGCATCCACATAAGCATTCCACCCAGCTTGAAGGATCCCGCCTTTGACAGCCTGGATGATGCTTCCATGTATTACTTGAATTACTGTCAGTGTGCTTAAGCAAATGCGATGTGATTCACACCTAATGACAGAGTCAGATAGCAGATGTGTGTGCAAGTTGTTTGCCATGTTCGACAGTCAGCGAAACCCTTTGAGGCAACTCATTCCGGCAGCGTTGGCTAATCCAATCTTGACTGCTTCGGTCATGGCTATATCAGCGCGCCACATGGCAAACGGTCAGCAACTATATTGTGAAAGGCAAGATGGAGACCACGCGACACGCTTTCAGGCGCATCCGGATGGTTTGATGTACAAACAAAAGGCCATACGCGGGTTAATCCAGGCGCTCAACGATCCAGTACCGAAGTCGCGAGACGTTCTGGTTCTGAGTGCGTTCATATTGATCTTCCTCGATCTCTTGGAATCGGGGCGCGACCAGTGGAAATCCCATCTTGGTGGCATCAAGCAACTTGTTCATGACATGCATACTGCGGGAACTTCGCAGAACCTAGAAGCAACCATTGAAGGCATGCGGGAGTTTATCCTGGGGCAAATCTACCTGTAAGGCTCCAGTATCAAACCATAGGATGGAATGTGCCGTTTTGACATGTTGTCCGTTCCAGTATTGAAACGCTTGGCGCTACATTTTCCGGTCGCAAAGTATTGTCCGGGGCGGATATGTCCCTCGCTGCACCGCTACAAATGAGTATCGACAGGGCCTATATCGGTTGCCCTGAGTATCTGCTATCTGCTGTTCGATTCTTCTCAGCAGCCAGGGATCGCTTAACTGACCCAAGATACCTAGATACGCCTGAGACATACTCTTTGCTACAGTCAGTCACAAGTGTGCTTAACTCTACCAACTTCTTCGATTGCTACGGTTGGGCGAACCAGACTCTACGAGTCTCATCCCTCACTCCAAAAACACAGAATGTACAGTCGCTGGAACATTTAGCCCAGGCTTATAAATCTGCAACACTGATATACGGGTGGCGCATCTGTGATGCGCTAACTGGAAACAACACTCCATTGAGTGACTTGGTAACAGGCCTGGTCCACGAGGTTCACATATTGAGGAAGGATGAAGCGATTTTTAAGTGCATACTATGGCCCCTTTTCATTGCAGGGTTGGAGTCTGAAGACCAAGCCCAAAGGAGTCAAGTCAGAGAATTTCTGGACAGCTTTTGGTTCGAAACCAAATGCATCAATGTGATAAATGCGGTAACAATCCTAGAGAGGCTTTGGGTTGACCCATCGGAGGTGGAAGACGCCTCATGCAGCTGGATTTTTCGAATGGGCCAGGTAGAAGGCGATTGGCTACTAATCTAAATGCGCGAGCTGCACTACAGTTTTACAATATGAGACGTGCCATTTTGGCCATTGGTGGTCACCAAAAGCTGAAAGAAAACGCCTTGTGCCTTCGAGAAGATGATCACAGTGATGGTGATAACGGAAAGATAATCGGACATCAGCGCGACATGACCCGCTGACGGGTATTTATCTTGCCATTGGTTACTTTACGCAAGCCCCACTCCAAAAGACTGCCTAATCGAGTAATCCAAATCAGTAGGGCGCGCCGATTCCGCTGCCCCAGGCCTGCGACATTGTGAACCAGATAAACCAACAGGACGCCACGTCAAAATTCTACCCAAAGGAGTTTTAAATTGCGACGACAAGATGACGAAAATATCAGCGGGGTCTGAGCAAGATGCAATAATTCAGCCCCGCGCTGTAGGATATATAAAGGGCTGTTTCGACATTCCGGCATTGAAATGAACAGCCCTTCAAACAGGACAGCCACTCCTCTTCTACTCAACCTATCACTAAACCATCATCATCTCCTATAACTAAACGAAATGTGCAACGACGAAATAAAGACCAACGGCTGGTCCAGCATGCCCGCCAATGCCGGTGTCATATTTGCGGACCAATCCTTCATCGAAAGGGCAGAAGCCATGCAGCTCGATACGATCAAATTCCCCTTCGACGATCCTGTCGTTTCAAAGACGTTGGCATACGCCAGGGCTGTCCTTCACCCCCAGACATTGAACCATTCCATGAGAGTCTACTTCTACGGTGCGTCTATAGTCAACACATCAAAGTGTATATACTCATTACGTCATATAACCGCAGGAATGGTAATCACCACCCAGCAATTCCCCGAAATAGCAGCATCCGTCAACCCAGCCACCTGGGCGCTAACCTGCCTCCTCCACGACATCGGCACTGCGGAGGAGAACCTAACTGCAACGCGCATGTCATTCGATATTTACGGCGGTATCAAGGCCGTCCATGTGCTGAAGGAGTTTGGTGCCACTGCGGACCAGGCCGAGGCCGTTGCTGAGGCGATCATTCGACATCAGGATATGGGCGTCGATGGAACTATTACGTATTTCGGTCAGCTTATTCAGTTAGCTACTACATATGATAATACCGGAGTTCATCCGCATGTGGAGGGTTTTGAGGGCTTGGTTCATCGGACAACTCGCAGACAGATCAATGAGGCGTATCCGCGATTGAAGTGGTGTGAATTTTTCTCAGGGGTGATTAGGAAGGAAGAGGCGATCAAGCCTTGGTGTCATTCGACCCATTTGGTGGACTTTGATAAGGAGATTGAGGTGAATACGCTGATGAGGGAGTACGAGTAATCGTCTTATGGCGGGACTTGATTACGCGACGATATGCCGTCTCTATAATGAAATGGTGATGCAAGTAAATATCGTGAGATATGCAGATGCTACGGCTTGTCTCAAAACAATAACTATGGCACACCAAGTACAGGAAGGCTCGTGCCTTCACTACCCGAGCGTAATGCTTCCGATAACCATCACAGCCCGTCGAGCGGACGCCAGACCTTCATCCAGCGCTACAGTCCTATCAGTCTTTATTCCGTGGCAATTATGCTTGGGAATCATACCTTATCATACGGCTCATTCGTATTCACGAATCTCAGATCAGTAGCCAGCCGAATCCTCCTTCCAGGGTCCTTGTTCTTGCAGCTAGCATGCACCAGGAAGGGGTCGTGGAAGATCACATCCCCAGCTTCATATTCGGTAATCAACCACTTACGCTTGGCGTTTTCACCATACGCGACCGTATCACGACTGAGAAACCCCCCATCGTTCATGTTCTTATTGAACGCCGAGACACGCTCCTCATCAGTCAGATTTGCTGCATTCCGCGCGAATTCTTCCTCGGTCTGTCGCCCGATATCGACCGATTTCTCAAGGTACATCAGCCCACTGCCCTCAAGCGAGACATCTCCGATTGGGACCCACGCTGTAAGACTGGTGGGCGGGCCCGCGCGCAGGTACATTTGATCGAAGTGAACAGGAGTCAGCTCACTATCAGGCACAAAGGCACGAAGCATTGTTCGCTGGAGCATAGTGATGTCTTTCCACTCTGTGAGTTTACGGATGAAGTCCCGTAGCTCGGTACTCTCGCACAATTGAAGATAAAATCTCTCCTCGTGCGCCTTGATCATCAGCTCCACATACTTATCCGACTCATAGTCATCCTTCAGGCCGAAAAGTCGCCGCAGATTTCCCGGGGGCAAGTACTTGCGACTATCTTTGTCACTGAAGATTCCATCGACGGGGTCTTTTCCTTCTCTGAGAAGACCAGAGGGCGCCATGTAGGAGAAATAGCTCCTGCGGCATTCCAGCACTTGGTCCCGTGGGAGCAGATTCTTGACCTAGATTTGGGTTGGTATGGGAGCCAAACGATGACAAGGAGGGACTTACGAATAGATACCCATCACGGATAAGTCTCTCCCGCATGACCTCAATCGGTGTCTTTCGATGTGGGTTGGAGGTATCCGATCTTCTCCGGCAACATGGGCCCAAAGTTGGATTCGAGCTTGACGTTTTTGGGATCTGTGGGATAGTATTCTCCGTATTTATCATCTGGAGGTAGTTTGCAATTGCTTGCTACGAGACGAGCGGAGGTAAAGACCTCGGATTCACACAGAGTCGTTGTTGACATCTTGTAGTAGGGATAAAAGGATAACTGATGATGGTTGCACTTCGTTACAAACAGGGAGAATAAATTAACTGAGGAGATTGAATCAGAGAAAATATCGGGCCCGATGGCGTGGATGGCTTCTCCTTGATATAGGGCAAACCATCGCTCGACAAGACCAACAACAGACCTACAACCGTCTATTGCCGACCCTGGGGAACCCCGCATCTGTCCCGCACTTCTACAGCCGACGCTTCTCTCATCCCCATTTTGTCTCTGACCTGAATTCAATCAATTAGTACAGCGGTCATGACTCGAAGTACAGGCGCAAGGCTCTACCGGGCATGTCTTCGTTGTCGACAACGGAAAACAAAATGTGATTTGTAGGTACTGCCCATATCCCACACCTTTCATTGCGTCTCACCTGCACCATCCCAGAAAATATACGGGAGGAGGAACCCATACGCCATGCTCAAAGTGCAACCTGGAAGGCCATCAATGCCTACCAGCCACTTCCCGAAGAGGAGGTGACTACTCTCGATTTCGGGGTCGTCGTCGGGGAAACACCGAGACGCAGACCCCGAGGTCCACTGAGCAGAGTGAAACCAAGACAAAACTACAGCCGAATACCTTGCAGGCGGAAACGGTGGGCGTGGACAGTAATACCCTTTTCAGTGGGGGTGTCCGGAATCCCTTAGAAGCTCTTCAAATCCTTGCTCAGACAGCCGCCACTGCGGGGGGAGATGACAGCATACCTTCGCCCGAGAGGCCCTCTCCAAGATCCGATGACACAGGGCATGAGGTGGTGAAGTCTGTGCCTCCTAATCCTCAGAATCAACCCAGGGCATCCATAATGGCCACGGAGATCGTCAAGGAGGGAGTAATTGACGCACTCGACATTGAACCCCTGGTACACTAGTATGTCCCACTTCCATGGCTAAAGTGCCTGCACTAACACATAGGATACAACAAGCTATGCCATAAATTACCATGCTTATTTTCCTATCGTGTCCAGCAGTCTATTATACACGGAAGACCCCGAGCACCAATGGGCTACCGAGACGTTTCTCCTTACCTCCGTCCTTACAATAGCCACTCAGAACAGGCCGGATCAGAAACATCTTCACACCCGGATCAGGGGGTATATCGATAAACTAATCCTCCGTGTCACCCTTGGTGCTCGGAGCGTGCGACATGTAGGAACTGTTGAAGGCTTGCTACTTTTAGCTGAGTGGATGCCTCATCTAATGCTTTCCCAGGATCAGCCCTACAGCAATAACTCTGAGCAGAGCAATGCATATGACGAAGACTGCGTAGCATGGAACCTGATAGGTCTTGCAGTCAGACAGGCATATTTATTACATTTAGACACACAATCCTTTCCTTTCGAGGTGGAATCCGAGCCACTTAGTATGCGCTGTCGGAGACGACTGGCGTGGATATGTATGCGATTCCGCATCATAGGGTATCATAACAAACCACTAACTCTGCTAGTTACTTATCTTGCCGACCGGCAAATATCAATCCAAATGGGACAAGCATTCTGGTCCCGCGGACCTAGTCTGTCGACCCGATTCAGCAGCCAAGATTACCCATCACTCCAACCGGAGATTACTGGCGGAACGGATTACGCCTCCTTTGTCCAGGCCCAAGTAGACCTAACAACTATCTTCGGAAACACCCACGACATTCTGTACGCATTAAAGTCGCGCACACTACAGATAATGCTCGTTGGCGACTACCCCAAATACCTCGACGATTCCGCCAAAGCAATGGAGATGTGGAAGGGAACCTGGTCAAATGTCGACATTCCCCCGTCTCTGCGCTGTCTCCTCACCCTACAATTCCAGTACTTACAACTATACGTCAACGCATTCGCATTCCAGGCGGTTTTATATCGCTCTTCTAAAACCACAAACACGAGCCATGAAGACAACGCAACTTTATTCCCAGACGGCGTCATGGCCAGTGCCGATGCTCGCCACATCTACGCAGCCATCAACGCAGCCAGAGATTTACTTCAAACATTCGTGGAAGAGATAACCCCATCCGACATTGTGAAGTTCCTCCCCGTTCGCTATTACCTTTGAGCCTTCTTCTGAACCTTGGTACTTCTTTACAATAGACAAAGACTAACAATCCAGCTACGAAATCTACGCCTCCGTCTTCCTCTTCAAAGCTTACTCCGTTGGAGCCATCCCTCCCAACGAATCCCAAACATACTTTAACTAACCCAACAATTCATTTCCATGCTCAAAGGCGCCGCTACAAGCCAAACACATATCGCCCATCGCTACGCAAAATTACTAGGCCATTTATGGTGTCATGGGAAGGTTACTCCCGAGTTGCACCAGGGTAGTGCCATCCAAGAGGACGAATTTACTACTGTGCAACAGTATACATCGTGTGCGCCTGTGGACTCTGACGGTTATGTTCAGCCAGTTAATGTGGATACTGATTTAATGGATGTGTTTTCTGGTTCTTTGCCGCTGGATCTGGGCCGCTCTTGGGATTCCGATTTCTATGATGAGACGCTGTTTTCCAGTCTGCCGTTCCTTCGTGGGTTTCGGGATTTGGAGGGTGATTATGTTGCGTAAGGTGAGCTTCTTGGGTGTGCGATGTACTAGTTCTAGAAGTTGTGTGTGTTTGATGGACTTCGTGTATGGATTTACGATCGTGATCAGCTCAGCGCAACATGAATGAGGAAATCAAACAATGGACGAAATTGTCGTAAAGGATACTAGATTATACTATTCAGTGGTTGTAAGTGCCGGACTCATGATACTCCAATGCCACGACTCATATGTCTTATACTACCACATTGCTGACGCCATCCAAGATATATAACTACCAGTAACCAAAGAGCTTCAAGTAGTCCTTGACCAGCTTAGCTTTGCTCTTATACACCTCATCCGGCTTGGCATCGGCTGCTGGATCATCACGGTACAATCCCCGTCCTCCGACAGCTGCACAGAAGCCAAAAAATGCAACCAACTTTTCTGCGCCCTCGATATCTTGAGGCCTGTCTACCTCTGCCATGTGCAAGGCCTCGTATAAATTCTTCGCTATGTTATAGTGGCATTGTGCACCCATGCCATCGTTGTAGTATGCATAGTTGTCAAGATCTCTCAGATCGACGTCCACGTCTCCATCTGGAAATCCTCCTAAGATGCATCGGGGCATAACACGGCTGTCCTTATCCATGGGAAATAATAGCGCGCCGTGCAAGCTGTTGTAAGAGTAGATGAACTCCTCCAGGGGATGGCCAAGAGAAGCATAGTTCCAGTTAAGGATGTAGGATATGGTCGGTGCTTGATCTGGTCTTTCTGAGACAAGAAAATTCCCAAGTTCTAGAACTTTGTGTCAGCTAATTGTTCACGGATTAATGATGGCTCAGGGATGCTTACCGATCCTGTTCAGGGTGAATGTTGGGCGATACTCGGGTATCTCAGCCACTACATCTGTAACAGACTGCTCGACGAACTCCTCAAGCTTCCTTCTCAACTCTGGGCTCCTTCTCCAGCCGTCGATGTCTGGTCGCTTTTCCGCCCTCCTCAGATCTCGCCGCAGTAGCTCTGTGAGATAACTCCCTAAGTTGCCAAACGGACCTCCGACGCCGTTCATAAGGGCCTCGCCAGAGCGAACATATCCTTCTTCTGAGAACCTGAGACCCCCATATCCCTGACATATAGCCATGTGATCATAGTCCTGAAAGAGCTTGTGTAATGTGGCAATCTGTCCCAAAATCTCGCCCTGGTGTTCCGAAGACATTTGATAAAACGACTCACTGAGTGGGGCATCCCCGGGTGGATGAGAGCTATGGATAATCCATGCCTTGTTATGTTCATCATCGCTTCCATCGCTCCATGCATATACCTCTGGCACAGTGCGGAGAAAGACGGTGTTGTAAAGAATCGTTCGCGCCGTATACATAGCAGCGACTTTGTTCTCCGCCCAGCGCCTCTTGTCCATATTTTGTTCAGGGATTTTGAACTGTATGATCACTTGTTTCGTTCCTGATGGCATGCGTGCCACTCCAGGCTGTCGAGGAGTATCGCGTATGTTCCACATAGTATGAAGAAAGTAGACTTCGTATGAGATGGTATTTGCGTTGTAGTCAAGAATGGGAGCGCGCTCAACTCCGTCAACGGTGATACCAAATGTCTTTTCCACCAATTCTCTGGCGCGAGCATCGAGCCTGGATGCTTCGGTATTAGATGAAGGGGGCGAAGGTGGGAAGGTAGATCCGGCCATAGTGAGCAACTTTTGTCGACTGTGTATTAGTGAAGTAGGCCGATTATGTTGATAATGACTGCGATGAGTGATGAGTATGATGGCAAAAGGTCCTGGGGTTGCTGTTGAGGCACTATTTAAGAACAATGAAACGGGTGGCATAGGAATTCTCATCATATTTAAACTTCACTAGTTTCGACAGGGTCAACTATTGTATATGAAAAGAATGTATCAAACTAATAAGGAGCGTTGGTTTGAGAGGAAAAGATGGCCAAGCCATAGGTACATGCCTCCTCAGGTAATGTTTTCTCTTGGGGTATAGAGTATGGACGTGATGTTTTGTGAGTTCTATACTCAACATTCTCCCAAAGGTGGCAGGTACCGGTCTCGCCGACCAAGATAGAAGGTTTGTCCCAGACTTCGCTGGGTATTTCGTGAACTCTTTGTGGTCTGAAACTGTCATTTCTTCGTTCACCCATTATATAATCAAGGAGAAGCGTAGTTGACAGGCATCAATCATTCCCGCCCATCGTACGCCTTTCGTCGCCTGTCGTAAATGCCACAACTCTTTGAAGGAGATTCCCGATGGCTCAAGCAAATCGTTTCGTCGACTTTGAGTCATGATTCCAGTTCTAACAGCTTATGCTTCTCCCGACGTACTATGCTCGTCTTAGTGACTTGTCATCACATCTTAGAGTAGTCTGATGTTAATGTCATCTGTCTGGTTCAATGTTGAGACTATCTTCGAATATCTCCAATCGGCAAGTTACTCCAGGAACTCAAATAAAAAAAGGTTCATTGTCAATGAGTTGACTTATACCATTTCAATGTGGGCGCGATGGCGTAAACCCAACGGATATACCTGGGACAGGAACACTCAAACCTTGAGCACTTTCGCTAAGCTTCGTCGCTTTATTCCATTATTTACCTGCCAAATGAACTAGACTAATAGAAGTTTAACATAGGGCATGCATCACCCCGGATGTCCACCCACAGGTGGAAGGCACATGCCTTAGCGACGAGCCAAATCCCATGTAACCACGGACAAGTGATGCCACGTTCGCTTCGCATTATACGTGGACTGATAATGCTATCGGTAGAAATGAGTTCGGTTATGGCTAGACAAAACACGTGGCAAATACTAGGGTTCCAGAACAGCAAAAGCCTAGCTTTCTAGCCTCTCCCTGACAAGAATTGTCAAGTATGCCATGTAGACAAATCCTAACATTCGTGCTCAGCCCATGGTGAGCATACGGTGAAACAGGGAGACCGATCCGAATTATGGTACACTGTAGCTTCTCAGCATCACACACAACAACTGTAGTGGAGATAGTGGGGTGTGTTGTGATGATGGGGATTGTTGCCATCGGAGTGAGTGCGAGATGCACTCTGTGTGAGGGGATAATTTGTAGTATCTTAGTCACTCTTCTGCCTAGCCATGCTGCGGGGAGATCAATCTTCACATGGCAATCCTTCTCAATCAATACCGAGAAGCTCGTTGGTCCAGCTGGGTGCCATGGCGTTGGCAGAGAGAATAGCTCCCAAGTCAAGCGAATCACGGAACGAGCATCGGCAATTGACAGCTGGGAGCCTCGGTTAGGGATGCAGGAGTAGCAGCAATAGTAGCAGCTGGACCCTTATATAATAGACAGGAGCGACCCTGTCAGACGGGCCAGAAGCAGGAGACCGGCAGTAATGGATGGCAGTCAACTACCGCCGATCCACCAGATGGAGCCCTCACATTGGTTGACACTCCGGGGACCCCGCGCTACCCCAACATTCTCCCCGGACTAGTCTGCCTTTGGCTGGTCCCTTATCATTAATCCTCATCAAACTCGCCAGCCAGCAAACACGCGGCCATGAATCCACTTGTGCTACCGGACAAGTCATCCCCGATCGACTTGGGGCCCCCTGGTGGGGTGGGTTAAATCCCCAGTTGCCTGCTGCTTCTCGTGGCTATCGTACGATCGTGAACCCTCTCTCGAACGCATCGTGCCACCCTGCAGCACCCCATCTAACCATCCAATGTCCAGAATGTCGCTCGAAGACTCCTCCAAATCCCGGTCGGATTACATTGAAAAGACCGAACTGGGCGATCTGACCACGGAACTGCCTGGAAGTTCCCTTTCGGAGCCGCACAAGGCATACCTGCTACAGCGACATGGCACGTTAGATCTGGATCCGGTCCCTAGTATGGACCCTGCGGATCCGTACAATTGGCCCCTCCTAAAGGTGAGGAGACCCTTCTCCGTCGACAGAGACAATGGCAACTAACGAATCAGAAAATCATCAACCTCCTTCTAGTCGCTTTCCACGCCTGTATGGGCACTTTTACCGCCGCAGCCGTCATCCCAGCCTACGAAGAAATTGCCGAAGACGTGGGTGTCTCTCTGCAGCGAACAAGCTATCTGACCTCTCTCCAAATCGCCATTCTCGGTGGTGCTCCTCTTTTCTGGAAACCACTTTCCCAGCGCTACGGACGCCGTCCTATCTTCCTCCTCTCGTTGATCCTCAGCTGCGTCTGCAACATTGGCTGTGCTAAGAGCCCGGATTATGCGTCTATGGCGGCATGTCGTGCCTTGGTGGCGTTTTTCATCTCCCCGGCTATGGCGATTGGCAGTGCTGTTGTCACGGAGACATTCTTTAAGCGCGAAAGAGCACAATATATGGGTATCTGGGCGGTGATGGTCACTCTGGGAGTGCCTGTGGGCCCGCTGATTTTCGGATTCGTGGCCCAACGCGTAGGATATCAATGGATTTATTGGACTCTGGCCATTGTAAGCACCGATGCCGCAACCTATGGGGGGTTTGCAACTAACGATGGATTTTCTAGACCAACGCCGTCCAATTCATCTTTTACATATTCTTCGGCCCCGAAACACGATACATCGGCACCGACATGCACGCCTCCTCGGCCTTCAAGCACCAATACCTCTCCATTCGACGCATCGACCCTACTCCCTTCCAACTCGCCGAGTTCTACCACCCCCTCACCCTCATCACCAACATTCCCGTCCTCATCGCCTCTGCCGCCTACGCCATGGTCTTCCTCTTCGCGTCCGTCATGAATTCCGTCGAGGTGCCCCAATTGCTACAGTCGAAGTTTGAGCTCAACGCTGAACAACTTGGGTTGCAATTTCTGGGTCTTATTATTGGTTCGCTGCTGGGTGAACAGCTCGGTGGTGTTCTGTCGGACACATGGATGAATCTCCGCGCAAAGCGGACCGGTCACAAGCCCGATCCCGAATACCGTCTGTGGCTCAGCTATATCGGATACTTGCTTACTATTGCGGGGGTGGTGGTGTTCCTGGTCTGCACGGAGAACGCACAGACCGGAAAATGGAGTGTCAGCCCGATTATCGGCACAGGGATTGGTGCGTTCGGGAACCAGGTTGTCACTACGGTGTTGATCACATACGCGGTCGATTCGTACCCGGCTGATTCAGGGAGCGTGGGTGTATTCATCAACTTTATCCGATCAACATGGGGGTTCATTGGACCATTCTGGTATGTCGTCCACGTATATTGCAATTGACTATCTATTAACACTTATTAGGTTCCCCGATATGTTCGATACTGTGGGCATTGCAAAGAGTTCGGGGGTGGTGACGGCGTTGCTGATGGGCGTGAGCTTTATCCCTACAGTGATCTTGCAATGGCGGGGGAGCAAGTGGAGGAGTGCTTAATTCATATACCATAGATCACATTATATACATTAGTATGATAACGAAGTGAAATTCAATCAATCAATCACCCCTAACATAGACTCCTTTTCCCTATGCTAACCACACCACTCTTATAGTAAAGCTTCCATCACATCTATCACCACATTACCACCCAACCCTCCTCCTCTGGCTCCCAAAGTATACTCAATTGACCGTATTCAGACACTGACTCCTGACCAACCCCCCTTCCCCATCCCTTCCAACCCTACTAGTCTGCACCGGCATCATCCCACAATCATCCAACACCCACGTCAAGACCCTAACCACCTCCCCCTCCGTAACCCCCTCATTCACCCCCAGCTCCACCGCCCGGATCCACGGTGACGCCCCAAAGCACATATTACACATCAACTTCCGTCTCTCCCAACAGACCTTCTCCACCATGAAGCTCGTCCGAAACGCCGATGAGTTCGAGACCAGGATGCAGTCCCGGGGTGTTTTGGCATCTAATTCGCCCATTATGTCGATCTTGAGCGGGAGGTGTTCCGGTACGCATTCGATCACGAGCCACGCGTCGCTGACTGCGGGGGTTATGTCCGCGGAGGAGAAGGGGTGGATTTGGCCTGCTGGGCGGGAAATCAAGGGAAAGGTCGTGTAGTGTGGGAGGTTCTCGGTAATGTAGTGTTGGGCGGAGTGCAAGGCTCCTTGGCTTGGGTCGTGGAGGTGCACGGTGTGACCCGCTGCGGAGAAGATGCAGGCGATGCGGCGGCCCAGGTTGCCGGCGCCGAGGATGGCTAGGGGTCTGGTGTAGATTGTGGGTGGGGAGTAGGGGATGGTCGGGAGGTCGTCGATGTGGTCGGTTGGTAGGGTTAGAGTTGTGGTGTTGGGGTCGGTGGGTGGCGTGGCTGGGTTGGTTGTGTCTAGGTTTGTGAGGGACATTATGTGAAGATATTAATGTATATTCCAATGTAATGAGGAGAGATATATTTAGGGGGGGGGGGGGGGGGGGGTTAGCTAGTATAGTTGTCTATATATGAAGCCGTACCCCGAGCCACGACCGGTTTCTAACTGGGGCGAAAGCAGGATCTAATCCCCGGGAAGATATGATATATGAACACCGTCGGGGTTCATTGTCAGTTTTATGCAGACGCAACGCTGAGGGGATGAATTGTTCCATGATGAGGAATATCCCACATGACATCATGGTCAGTAATCCTCTAAGGTGATGCCTGATTGGGATATAGATTGGAGGTGAGAGTTCGGATCGGGGATGTGGTTCCATGTGGTGGCTGGCCTTTTGAACAGCTGTTGGCAGCACTATCCTATGACAGGGAATTGGAGAATTTTAACCTGGTCAGAGTCCGCCCAGACAGGGTTTGCAGATCTGGGAGTGTAAAGCCTAATTGGGTTGTTCGGATCATGCAACGTGAGAGTATGACGGGTATCAGTACTATGCACTTCAGCCTGTCTCGGGAACATGAGGGACCTGCTATGAGTGGAAGGAAACATATAAGAGACTGAAGCTGTGATATCCGGTATTTTGTGTTGCATCGTTAAGGAGCTTGCGTTGAGAGTGACGTGCGGCGCTGCCTGGAACTTCCGAGGCTTATATTCCCACCAATCAATGAAGCTTATATCAGAATGAAAACAATGAAAATGGTTCCCTGCCTACGAGGGGCTGCGTGGGTAATCCGTGGTCAGAAGTAGATAGAGGGATTGCAGATGAGAAGCTCTAACTGTGTGGGTCACAGCAGCATCTATCAATGATCGACTAACATCCATTGACCCGAACGTGGGTTTATGTTTGCAGCTCAAGTCCAGCATCGTCGTATGTGACATCACAATCTGCTAATACCCCCAAGCAGTTCAGCTTCGCTGCTCAACGGCCATCGACATCTAACAGCTAATATCGTCCGGCACATTCTCACAATCAGAGCTGGTCTTCCCTCCACTGACATCCACATCCGTCCAAGTCCAGTCTGTGCAGCTGTCCGATCCGCAGACAATATAGATATTCGTACCCGAGCTCTCTACACTCCCCTGCACATTGTCAAGGACAAAGTCCTCAATGGTAATGCCATCAGTCGGGGATTCGCTCGTATCGTCATAGTTCTGCTCCACCACAATACCGTAGTCGGTGATATCGGACAGGGTTATCTCCTTGTAAGTAACCTCGCTTACCGACCCAGTGTCGCCGTAGATGGTCTTGATGCGCACTCCTATACCCTGCTTAGCATGTGATCGCACCGAACAACAACCTTAATACAAAACCTACCGTTCTGAGAGCTCTTGATCTCCGAGTCGTAGAAGGTCACGTTCTTGACGGTGTTGTCACTGCGACCACCAACGGAACCGATCGACAGCCCGTGGCCACCGGAGCAGACGCCGCCCGAGAAGTAAATGTTCTGTTCCATCAGTGCCACATCCATAGATTGAAGGAGAGTATACCCACCTCGCCCGAGTTCACCGCCACACAGTCATCCTGGTTGTATACATTTGCGCCCGTGATGGTGATGTACGTACTATCACCAATATCGAACCCGTCAGTGTTTGCTGCCTCGCCATCATCGCCATCCGAGTTGTCAATGGTGATGTCCTCCATCGTAAGATAGGTCGATCCATCGATGCTGAACACTTGCACCGGCGAGTTCTGGATGTAGATCCCGCTGATCGTGGACGAGGTCAGATCGTGGGCGTAGAAGAACTTGGGCTTCGTCTTGCCACCATTGCTGCCCTCGCCGTCCCACCAACGACTGCCGTCACCGTTGAGATAGGCGCCATCGGCTCCAGTGACAGTGATGTCAGTTCCGGAGACGGAGACAAGGGGTCCGCTCCATTCCTCGTAGCCAAACGTGGTTTCGCCTTCGAAAATGACCTGTCCACGTTAATTGTGAGAATCGCGCGTCGAGGAACAGTAACTTACGTGAGTCCCATCATTCAGATCGGTCAAATCCAAAGTGGTACCTGAGGGCACTGCCACATCGGAGAGCACAATGGTGGAGCATGAGGTCTTGGACTTGCTGGCCGACGAGGCCCCCTCGGACCCGGAGAATGTGCACGAGGTTGCGCGCTTCTTCAGATCCTCGAGCTTAGGGGCGGGAGTCACCAGGGGATCGGCAACGGGGCTCGCACTGACCAGTGCCGCCCAGAGCGTTAGGATGATCACCGAACTAGAAGTCACCATGTTGAAAACGCCGCAGATCAAAGTTTAAGACAAGCTTTTAGTTAATGCCTTGGTTCCTCTTGGAGTTTCTTGGCCGGCATAATGCGCACATTTTATACTCCTAGCATGTATCATTGGGGCATCTCTGGTATCTCTGTGGTGGAATATTTCCCTGGTTCTTGTTAACGGCACTTCGCATCTCCGACGGAAGAACTGCGGTAGCGCGCGGGATAATGTGATAGTTCCTGCAGCACTTCTGCACGCTTCTTCTCCCCACGGGCGCCACACTATATTTCCCGTGCCTGACGCGCAATTCCTGTAGTGAACCTTATCCGGTTACCCGGGGCGTGCAGCGATGAGTGGTGGGAAATTCTGATCGATCACTGTACCTGAGGCAGCCATCATGGCAGCATAGTGCTTGTGAGGGGTCTATTTTCCGATGGGGTCGGCAGTCGGACGCCGGGATTATCTCTGAAGAATCGATGATGATTCGTGGTAGGCTTGTTGCAGGAAGAGTAGCGGTTTGCGAGCCCCCAATGGTGTCATCATACGGTCTCATACAAGACTCGCCATATTTTAGCTTTGGAGCATAATTGTGACCGTATTAAACTGCATTATTGACTGACTGGGCCTATGTGTGACATGGCTGACATCTCCCTGTTATGGAGGCGACCATGGGGGTGCAGTTAGACCAGAGGCAGATGGTGTTTGGCAATCCAATCTTGGAGAACACTGGTCGTGATGAACAGACACCACAGGGGTAGCCAGACATCCCAGATTACCTGAGAAACTGGAATCATGAAGATTCGTATGCTCAGTTGGTCAAAGAAAAAGGGGTTTTACAGACATTATCTGACTCCGTCCTACTTACCATGAGCCTTAGCAGACGCGTATGGCAATTTCGGACCTAGTTGGCCATCACTGTCGAATGTTGCCCCGTTAACAGCACATGACTTCCCTGGCCTGTTGCCTGACATCATATGGAGCCATGACTAAAACAAGCTATTCTCATTCCGTCGATCAATCAGTTAATCAATCAATGATTGATTCCCCCTTGCTGATGGCCCAAGAGAGACTGATTGATAAGGCGCGATAAGACAGCGATAAGATAGAACGATCGGCCTCTTCCGCGACCGGGACTGCCCGATGCCGATGGAGGCGTGGGGAATGCGACAGCTATTTAACCATTGTCCATGGCTCGCAATTGTGCTAGAATCCGGATCGCTTCTGAGAGATTTGCACAATGGCTCCTACAGTTCACTCACTACCTCCGCCTCCGGGCTCCGATATTGATTTCGGAGCTATTGTCGAGAATATCGACCTCGAGAACTTGACCGGTAGGATCAGCTAATTGCGATGCCATTGGAACCGCTGCTGATACTTGTTAGATGACGACTTCAGCGTCATTCGCAGAGCGCTGTACGAGAACCTCGTGGTGGTGGTGAAAAACCAACACCACCTCTCCCCGAAAGCACAATACGAGCTTACCCGTCGATTCGACCCGGCCGCCTCGCAGTACGGCCACGGAAAGACCCTTGATGCGAAACGGAGCATTCTGCATCCCGACCTTAAGACCGTTCCTCATCAGCCTCAGGTCCAGGTGATCGGCCATGGTTTCGTGGAGGCTTACGAGGGCCTCACCAATATCCAGCTGAAACACCCCCACCATCGCACATTCCACCGCGACGCTATTCCCGACGAGGAGGACTATGATTTCACCCGCTTCTACCGCTGGCACATCGATGCAGCCCTGTATGATTTTTACCCACCTAATGTCACGACTTTGTTGGCAGTGCGCGTCCCCAAGGGCCGGAGACAGACATTGCGGTATGACGACGGTTCAAACGAGACGCTGGACGTGCCTTTGGGAACGACGGCATTTGTCAGCGGCGAAAGAATGTTTGAGATGCTCTCGGACGAGGACAAGCAGTTTGCGCTTACGAGTCGCGTGGAATATGCGCCCCACCCGTATGTTTAGCTAGTCCTGCCATGATTGTGAAGTCCACTGACATGAACAGTTACATCTGGATGAGCTCCGCTCGTGCTCTTCCCACTGGTCTCGGTCTCTACTCCGAGGACAAGGAACTGCCTTTGTCTGACCTACCTCCTATCGATGAATCCAAAATCCAAGTCTTGCCCATGGTATGGAAGAACCCCTTGACGGGCAAGCCTGCCCTTCAAATCCACCCGTCTGCGGTGCGCAAAATCCACCGCAAGGATGGCACCGTGATTGATGATCTGACTCGCGTGCGAGAGATTGTGTACAAACTGCAGCGCCCAGCGATCAGCCCTCCTCATGTGTATCCGCATGACTGGGAGGAGGGCGATCTGGTGCTGTTCAACAATCGGGGAGTCATCCATTCGGTGGTTGGAGCGTTTGGCAAGGATGAAGTGCGACTGTTCCGGCAATGCAACCTGGCGGCGGGAGAGGCGCCACAGGCGTACGAGGCATGATCAATAGACTTAAATAAATCAATGATATTAATCTCATGACTCTCGAAATTGATACGTATGCTTGTGGTGGTGGTTTGGTGTTGCTCTCTTTGGGCAGGTATACGACGGCGAATGTCCTTCAACGCGCCTGCCACCAAGTAGCTCATCCCATGTATTCCGGTTATGGATCCACCCATCGAGAAGAACACGAAAGAGACCTGTTGTGAAGGTATACATGCATTGGGTATATAACTGCCTGTCTAATTACTATTAGGTATGTTCACTTTTACTTTTATGCACATCCATCGTCTATCGTCTATCATCTATCATCGCTCATCCATCCATCCTTTTTTTTCTAGCGCGCAAGTTCCTATTATTGTTAGCTTGGTAAATAGCCTTAAAAGGGATGTGAACTTACACTTGCGAGCTTGCTCTTCGCGCGGATCCGACCGCCGTAGAAGACAAGGACCCACGGTACTAGGGTCAGAAGAAGGCCCTATACTAATTAGAATCACACACGGACACTACTGGATCTCAGACACAACTTACAATTCCACCAAGGAGACTCGATGCTCCAGGATATCCAAGGTTGGTGAACATGGCATTGGTGACAAGAGGGAAGACACCACCCAGCAGGTTTCGGCCTGTTCGAGTCAGCATGTTGCCTTTGATCCGGGGGTTTTGTATTAGGAGTAAGACTTACAGCACGACTGAGCTGCAATCGCAGAACTGGCATACCGGTGGTAGGTATCCGCCAGGTAGTTGAACACGGCCAGGTAGACCGCGAAGATTCCCATGGTAGCGCAGGCAATTGCCAGAGTCGGGACAATCCATGGAACAGACGAGTATGAAGTCCAGCCAAACCAAAACAGTCCGATGGGCATCAGGATGGATTCAATGCAGACAAAGTACAGTCGAGCCTCGGGTTTCTTGGGGAGAAATCCGTACTTGTTGGCGATCTTGTCTTGCAGGATACTGACGATCGTGATAATAATGGCACCAACACACATAGCTGGTGACGTTAGCAACTGGTAGGTTAAAGATAGGAAGGGCAATCATACAGGCAAAGACAGCTCCGGTCTGCTCGGTAGTGAAATGGTGATTGGTCTTGAAAACCAATGGAATGGAACCGAACTGCAGGTACAGAACAGCCCAGCTGAACGACACCCAGAGGGAGAAAAAGAAGACCACAGGTTCTGTGAAAAGCATGTCTGAAACTACATCAGTCCTGATCCCTAAGCTGTGGAACATGGTACTTACGAAATGGACGATAGCAGGAAATGCTTATCATCTGCAAGAGAGACTCGCGCTGCTCGTCACTCTTCACTTTCCATCTGATCCGTTTGGCCTCGTTCTTCTCGCCCATGATGACTCCGAAGTGCCCAGCAGCCTCGAGCTGCTCATAGTAGTTGTTCACAGCCTTTGCTTTGCGGCTCAAGAGAACACTTCCGCGTGTCTCTTTAAAAAAGAAATAGATGACCACCACGAAGAAAGCTGACACGATGGCATGCGACCAGTAAATCCAGCGCCAGGAAGTGTGCGCTACGATCGCACTGGAGCATAAGGGCGCCAGTCCGGTTCCAAAGAGCGCGGCACCGGAGAACAAAGCCATAGGGGTATTGCGTTCCTCGGCATGGAAAATGTCGCTAATCACACCACCAACCATGGTCGAAAAGGTCGCTGTCGCCAGTTAGCTACGCATCCACGGTATGATCTTCCCCGTCTGTACATACATGCACCCACACCCTGAAACAGTCGCGCAATAATAAGTCCTGCGAAAACATGCGTGCCTCCGCAAGCAATAATGCAAGCTATTCCTGTCAGCTTCCATCGGGATCCACGGGCGCGAATCGCATACCAGTAAAAAGCACACCACTTGCGACAAAAATGGGTCGCCGACCATTAATTTCCGAAAAGGGCGCCAGAACCATCGGGGCCAGCGCAAAACCGACACAGAAAATCGTGATGCTCAAATTGTATACCACCGCACTGATCCCCCACTCCGCCGTCAGCTCCGTCGATGCTGGGTTCACCTCGCCTGCCGAATAACCAGCCAGTGCGGTCACTGCGCACGCAATCCAGGTCATCATCCACTTGCGCCATTTCGGCCAGAGGAACGGGGAGGTATATTTCTCGAGACTCGGGGGTTCGGGAGGGGGCGATTGACCGGGGCCCGGGGGTGCAGTGATTAACGGTGTCGGTAAGTGTGTTTCCAGCTCGAGGTAGAGGTATTCGATCTCCTGCGCGGCGGCATCCTTTTCATGACTGAAGAAGGGGTCGATAGGGCGATCCAACTCGGGGGAGTAGACGGTATCTGCGGAGCCCGACTCACTCGGAGAAGGGGCCTCGTGAGTATGCATTCCCGCAACAGGCTGCTCTGGCTGTGAGGCTATTATTGCTCGATGCAGAAATTGTGTGTGCCATTACTGGCGCCGGGACAGGGCCCTTTTAAGAGGATGACGATCCAGCGTTCCAGCCAGCGCGGGAGTTTAGTGCCGATGGGACCAATTTGGAGAAAAGTTGATTATCAACGTCGAAGGATTGATTACTTTGATTCCACTAGATGGTAGGTTGTGAAAGCCGCTGCGATCGACGGGTCGCCACGCCCTATAACCGCACTTGAAAGTATTCCCTCGGCAATGGCTCCCGAGGCTAAAGCTGAGTTTACATGCAGGACAGAGCACTATGCTTCAAAGAATCGACATGGAGTTTCTGAATTAGGAGTGTTTTCCACGCCAGAGAAATCAGAAACTAGTTGTTTAGTGGCTGCAAGCTGACGCACTGCGACCGGGGCCCTGAAATTTTGGCGTGAAAACCCCGGCGTTCCCCACTTCGGCTTCTCCAATTTGGAGACAAAATCACATAAACATTCCCTTTCCTGACTCATCGATATGCCATTTGCCGATGCAGAAAGTTGGGGAAGTTTGGGGAATCGGCCGATATGTTTCTATTTCTACGTATCTTAACTGAGCCCTACCCTAGTCTTCATCTTTTTAACCATTGTTGACGCATCCCTGCACAGGGCCACATGTTCCTCCGATTTCTTGATGGAGATCCGATTCTATTAGCTCATGGGCCCATCTAGGGCCATGTGCCGTTCGGGGAGATGCGTTACAACTCCGGACCATGGTGCTCTCAAAGCTGCAGCCTGCAACTGATAGATCGATTCTGAAGTTTGTGTCGCGTGGCTGATAAGGATTCGAAACAACTACACAGGGCGTTCTCCGCAGTGTGTCGGTAAAACTTCGACCACTTTAGCGCTAAAGCCCCTCGGATAAGACAAGTCTACTCAGTACACACCTGCTATTCAACTACGGGGTAAAGTGTCGACACATGATATCTTCCTAGCCTCTATTGCTCACTGGCCAGGTCTACCGAGAGCTGTCTGCGTTTCCTTGGGCACGAATGAGCTATGCATTGCGTCCTGGCCGTGAGAAATGCCAAGGACAATGGTGCATCCCTTCACCTCCGAGGGGATGCGGTGGATGCGTCAATTAGCTTACATCCTGCAGCTCCTCCCACCGACTGTTTGCGCCCAGAGGAGTCCAGAGCATCTGAGTTGGAGGGCGCTTTTCGCGGGTGTCTACCTTTCTAAAAGGGACGGGACATTCTTGGCTGTATTGTGTCTGACCTTGGTATGTGGAAAGGCTGTCGGAAGTGCATTCCAAGTCCGAATTGTCTGTGCAACATGCTTTTTCTGAAACAAAAGTAACCGCTGTGGTTAATGTCTTCATGCTCCATGACCTGTAGTATCTCCGTGAACCAGATGCTATGTCATACTGCGTCTTGCTCAACAGTCAACCCATCAGAAGAGCGAAGCATGGAAAGCAATCATTTACTGACACCCAAACGCAGCCATGAGGTACTCTAAGATTTTGTTCCGTAATATATTCTTCATTTATGAAGTAGCCCACTCAAGCGTCTGTCCTAGTGGTGCTTCAGGGACAGTAGCATACGAACTACTGGTGAATATATTCTGCTGTCAGGGTAAATCAGGCTGTACAAGCCTGTTACACTTTCTGATTAGCTGAATTTTTGTAAAAGCAATATGGACATGTAAATATGCCCGCATAATATCCGAAGACAAACTGAGTGCTCAGGTGAGTGATCCATACCCATAGCCTGTAAGGACAACCAATAGCTTCAACACGGCGATTCCTTGTATTTCTTAAACAGTTCGTACGCTGTAAATTATGTTGCACTATATATGCTTCGCACAAAACCCCGCAAGACGACTAGCTACGGCCTTGCTTGGCAGCAGCTTTGCCTATATGTTACTCAAATGGAAATCGGTCGTTGCTCAGGCTGCCCATGGTTCTGTATAATATTAGCATACTAAGTGAAAAGCTACTTGAGTACTGAGTCGCCAGCACACTGAAAGCAACCTACATAATTGGTTAATTCTCACTAGGTGTGAATGTTATGGTTCACTGACATCACGAATAGACTTTATGGTGGCGAATTCTATCCCGCGCTGTCATGATCCCACGCGGGATGCTGTAGACAATATCGAGCACCAATTCCACGTCCTGGCCAAGTCAGATTTGATAATCGATGAACGAGAACTTCATCTGGAATGTGGAATATTGTTAATAGTCGACAGCCATTATGCATTTTCTACCGTCATGAAGTCTTTGGTATGCCTCAAGGCCGACCGAAAACCTCCCCTTTCAATATGGGGCGAATTAAAGTATCTGGGGGGGCCGAATTGAGGACATGCTAAGAAGTTAATCCTGTGGTTCCGAAAGTCTCACCATGGGTACGAGACATCCCCCACCTGAGGCAATGTGGCAGTGTCATTCTGCGATTTAGATCGTATGTGACGATGAAGATTGCGATGCATTAATTGACGGATACATTATGCGTTTCTTTCTGCATGAGAATATGTGCCAAAAGAATGTTTGAGAATTGTAGATGAGACTGGTAGAAAGGAGAAGGTAGATCGAGTGTATGCATTATGCACAAACCAAGCGCTGTCCATCACACAAATGTCTTTGCACTGAAAGACCTATGGTAATTGAGATTTCCAGTTCTAAGTGACCTGGGTAAACCGAGAAAACCCATTGTGAAATGGGCCTACGTTAGTTTGGTAAATCTAGTTGTCACCGATCTTCTGCCACTCCTGCACTGCTGTTCAACCTTCCTGGGCTGGAACCATATCAAAAGCTTCGCTGAAGCCAAGGAACAACGACACAAAATGGCCTATCAGGCCCTCTGAAATTTTCTGACAGGTTTAAACAGGACAAGAAGCAATAAATCTATGATCCGTCCATCCTAGATATACAGGAAATACTATGGCAGACATTTCTTCGTGATAACCTTCTACCGGGCACAGATGGAGAGATCTTGCAATCGAGAGAGCTAACAGCTTGTTGCTCTCTGCAAACAACATGTGGCTTGATGACATAGGGAGCAGAGTGGGCTCCCAGCTGTCACGTCCCGTTACCTACGTCATCACCTCCTTCCTCTCCATCGCTCTCTACAATGTCGTGGAGCTAACCTTCATCCTCTTGCTGACGTTCAAGCGCCGCAAGGGGCTCTACTTCTGGAGCTTCGTTGTGGCTACTTGGGGCATCGCCATCTACTCCATCGGATTTATCCTCAAAGACTTTAACCTTGTCGACAATGCCATCTCCTACTTCTATGTCACGCTGATCGTGGTCGGCTGGTGTGCGATGGTCACCGGCCAGTCGATGGTGTTGTACTCTCGTCTTCATCTCGTCGTGCGGCATCATATCATGCTCCGGTTCATCCTCGGAATGATCATCTGCGATGTCATCTTATTACAACTACCAACTGTTATTCTATGCTACGGCGCGAATTCCTCGACCTCTGACAGATTCGTACTACCATACGCCATATACGAACGAATCCAAGTGACGGTGTTCTTCATTCAGGAATCCATCATATCCGGCGTCTACGTATACGAGACGTTCAGATTGCTTCGCTCGGAAGATGAGGTCTTAGAAGGGTCACACCGAGAGGCTGCGCGGAGGCTGATGCTACACCTGATTCTCATGAATATCATTGTCATATTTTTGGACACGGCGATTCTGGTCCTTGAATGGGTTGGTCGGTATGCAGCGCAAACGGCAGTCAAGGGATTCATTTACAGTGTCAAGCTGAAGCTCGAGTTCGACATCCTAAACCAACTGGTCACATTCGTGTACCACTCTCACACATCGAATTCGGGCAACTTGGATGTAGACAGTTCGTCGAGGAATCTTTGGGATATGAACCAACAAACTGAGCCCAATACTACTTCTGCCCGCCATCTCCATCCTAGGCATTGCGCTTGGGCTAGCGTGGCCAGCAGAGTGAGACGCGACTTCACTATCTCCGCTGAGAAGAAAATGTCCAAGATCATACAATATACCAGGAAGCAATCGGATTCCAGCGGATCCCCACAAGATCGGGGTTCAGTGCGTCCAACATAAGGAGCTGTCTCTGGGCAGGTCCAAAACGGTATTCTGACAGCTATCTTGGAGCAAAAAGCGCTAGGAATATCGAATGATTTCTTGGGGGGTCCCGGTTGATTCTGGTGTTTAGTCTCACTCAGACAGTGGACTGTTCAATAAAATTGTAACAGTCGTCCAGATGCCACCTACAAATTAGATACCTCATGACACCCAGATATCTTCGTCTTGGTTTATGCAGACAAAAGGGCGCTAAGAGAGCGCTCCTAGAAAGACCAAGCAGGTCCGGAAATTCTGCTCAGACAAAGAAGAGCGTACCTAACGTTCCTGTGATGAGCCACATATCTGAAATATAAATTTGAATCGGGAGGTCTCAGATCATTTTCCGTGCCAACCTTTCATAACAATGACCCGGAAGCGCAGGAGAACGATCGAACACTATGTGTATGGGAACGGGAAGAAATATATCTCGGCAGTGGCACACCACCCTCGACAAAAATTATGATTACTACACAGTATATACTGGCTTTCCTAAACAGGCTTTGTACATTAAGCAACAGATACCCTATAAGCCCATAAATGTTACACATATACCAGGTTACACTATAGATGTTTTTTATAGTCCTATCTTGTAGTAGATGCGATAAGATCAAACCCACCCGGAGTGGCGCCCATCCTCCCCGAGGCCGCAGAGTAACCCAAAACGGCAAGTCTGCCTCCGGGTGTCGGCATTCTAGCCGAGGCTTGGCACTCGGTTGGGTTGCTTTGCGATTCTCAGCTGCAATGCATCATCACCACCATCACCTCGAGCTAGTTAACCTGCCTGTTGTGCAACTCTTCAGCGGGCTAATCACCGGCCCAGTGATGGTGAAGCCTTCCAAGCAATATCAATGCCAGCGATGTTCCCGAACCTTTGCTCGGTTGGAACATCTCCAACGCCATGATCGGTCGCGTATGATCCCCGCCCATATTTGGAGATTCCTATTGACCCCAATTCCCCAGACACGAAGGAGAAGCCGTATCTCTGCACTCAATGCCCCAAGTCGTTCACGCGAAAGTACGGCAAATTTCCCCTATTGAACTTCTCCACCCGCATTTACTGAGTAATCTCTCCCACAGAGACCTCCTGGCCCGCCATGAACGTCTGGCCCACAGTGACACCGCTCCTGGCCAAGGAACAACATCATCGCCTTCCGTGGCTTCTCCCCAAGTCTTTGATGGCCTTAGTGTCCTGGCCTCAGCAGTAACTGACCACCCTACTCCTGCCACCATACCAGGCCCACAGGCCATACTCCCAGGTCCTCACGAGCAGTTTACTCCCGGCCTGGCTGCCTCAGTGCAGGGCCATCCGATAGCCACTTCCAATCCATCCGGACAAGGACCTCCAGGGTCCGCTGGCTTCAGTGAGCCATTCGTCGGTTACGGACCGGCAACCTCTTACGACGGCGATGATTTCACGACCTTCCTCGACAGTATCCCGCTTCCCAGCCATCCATTCTCACCTACCTATCAGCCCCTTCCACTATTCCCCGCGTTTCACTTCGACTCCGCATCAGAGTACAGCCAACCTGTTGCGAAGACCAACAATGAGGTTACGACCCCCTCCAGCTCAATCCTTCCTAGACATGGAACACAGCTACCTTCTCTTCAGCCCGAAGGAGCTCATACGCCTTACAAGACCCGCGACCCGAGTGCACCTATCTCGGTTACCGCGCAATGCCGTGATCGCATCGTCGCCGAGTTATCGAGTTACTCAAATGTTGTCCCAAATCCCTACACACCATCTCGACATGCTCTCTCCAGATGCATCAGCGCTTATATGACCAACTTTCACTGTCATTATCCTTTCATGCATCCACCCACCCTCGACGTTGATTCATTGCCTCTGCATCTAATCTTCGGTATGGCTTCCGTGGGTGCCCAATACTGCCGCGAACCCGAAACAAGCATGAGCCTCTACAAAGTGGCCAAGGCTGTGACCCTTGAACATGTCCGAAGGGACCTGCAATGGGGATGTTTAAGTCCGCAGACCGAGGGTCCGGTGGACCCGGTGTCAAGAGGCCAGGATATCATTGAGACGGTGCAGGCGCTATTGCTGCTTATATCTGTTTCGTGTTGGTTCGAGCGCGACCCCCCTCATCACGAAGCATTGTATATTCGAAGTTTCATGGAGACTCTTCTTCGGCAAGGAGGACTCAATGACTTACCGGCTCAAGATGGGTCATGGGAAAGCTGGATCCGCTATGAGATGGTCAAACGGACAAAGCTTATTGTGTTCTGTTTCTTTAGTGTCCACACGATCGTATTTGATATTCCGCCGCTGATTCTAACCGAGGAGCTGACGCTGGACTTACCCTGCACCGAGCGAGAATGGACAGCAACCAGCGCAGCTCAGTGGCTGGAAGAGCGCAGCCAGAGTCGTGGGGAACCAAAATTACAGGATGCGATGAACTCATTGTTCACTCACACCGGTGCAGCCAAGACCAGCTTGGACAGTTTCTCTTCTCTGGGAGGATACGTGCTCATCCACGCAATGATCCAGAACATCTGGTTAATTCAGAAGGCTAGCAGGCTCCCTGTCTCCAACGGAAGCTTTCTGTCTTCGTCCGTGATCACATCTTTAGAGCAAGCTCTGGAACTTTGGTGTCAATGCTGGGAGCACAACCAAGAATCCTCAATCGATCCTTTCAACCCCCATGGTCCAGTGTCCTTCACGTCTACTGCCCTCCTCCGTCTGGCGTATATCCGATTAAACGCTGATTTCAGCTCCGCCCGTCGACTGGAAACATGGAACCCGGATGAGGTTGCCCGTTCGCTCAAGAATAACCTATCCGTACAGAGGAGCGACCGTCTCACTCGAGCTGCGTTACACTGCGCCCATGCACTTAGTACGCCCATTAAACTGGGCATCAACTACGTCGCGCGTACCCTCGTCGTATCATGGTCAAACCAGTACGCGTTATGCTCCTTGGAATGTGCTGTGCTACTCGCCAAGTGGCTTGAGGTGGCAACGATCCCGAATCCAGAGCCGAGTTTGACTGAACAAGAAAACAAATTACTGGAATTCGTGCTGGAAATGGTCATGGAAGCTCAGCATGGAGTATCACGTGATTGGCTGCTTGCGAATAACACTCGTCTCAGTGCTACTGTCACCAGGTTATGGGCCAGGCTGTTTACGGCAGATTATATCTGGCAGTTGGTGAATCTGATTGGAAGTTCTCTTAACAGATATGCTGATATTCTAGAGAGTGATGAGTGAGCGTGGTATTCTCTGTGGCATCCACCTTTGAGGTGATTACTAGGGAGTCGGACTTGCTAGCAACACTTTTGAGAAGAAAGATTTCGCGCTGTGGCCGGTGGATTCTGGCGATGACCGCATGGAATGTGTGCGAAGAAAAATTATAAAGCTTATAAAGGTCGCACCTCGTGGCGACCGTGGGCAGAATGCCCTTACTGTATATACCCCTGCCTTATATTCTAACCAGCTCCAATTGAGCCTCCCCAAGTTCAGATATTTCATTAGGATTACGCGAAATGGGTTATGATTGCCTACGAGCTTTCTTTTGCTACAAGACCTCTTAATGACATTAACTTGTCGTTTATTCCTACTACTCGTATCAGTCCGACAGAACCACTGCTGACCCATTCACCAAAAAAGAAAGTCAATCAACGACAGGAGTAGATCCTTCGCAGCCAGCCCCCCCCCCAAAAACACTACATCCGACTAAGAGCTATCCCACAGACACAAAACTACTAACCACCTATGGCATTGCCTACTCATCCCAAACAACAGAGACAACCTCACCAACCAGAGACTTATAGGCAACAAGCGGCACCGGCTTTCCAGTCTTTCCATTCCACCTCGTCACACCCACCGCATGGGAGTTTTGCAACGCCTCGGCAATCATCTCGTTGCGCGCCGACATCTCAAACTGGCGCGGCGACGGCCCGTAAGCGGGGTATAGACCACCAAAGGTGACGTTGGTAGGACGGCTGCCGGTCTCATCAGCGCAGTTAAAGACGGCGATAGAATCATTGTTGGTGCCGAAGGTATTGTCGTCGCGGTTGCTGACGACGAGGCGGTTGTTTTGGGGCTATATGTGGAAGACAGTCGTTAGCTAGTTGCTCCTTGCAACCAAGTAAGGGGTAGGTGTGATTTGGACTTACGGAAATGGCAATCTCGGCGACCTTGGAACCATTGGGGGGCACAGCACCGCCGTATGAGTTGGCGGTATAGATTTCCGTGAAGGAGATGGTTCCGTTGGATGGATACGTCACTTTGTAACCGGTGACGTGGTTGTTCAGTTCTGATGTCAGGTAGAACACGACATCTTCGTGCTTGGCCTGCTTGGCGGTGGTTCCCGCAGGTGTCCAGAAGACACCGTGACGAGGACCGGAGCCAGGTGCCGCTACGAGGGGAGCTTGGGGTTCAAGGAGGCCTGTAGAAGGGTTGATGAGGAAGATGCGAATCAGGTCAGCACCGAGGTCCGGCACGAGGACGAACCGTCCTGTCGGGTCGACGACAACACCGTGGGAGTGGGGTGCATCCTGTCTGTCTGCGACGGGACCGGGAGCGGGCAAGGTGTAGGTAAAGGTTTGGGAGCGGTTGAAGACACCGCTGACGGGGTCAAGGGAGTAGCTGGTGACAGCGGATCCCTCACTGTGATGAGAGGTTAATAGTGTAGTGGTAGAGATGGGAGGATCGACCTACTAATGAGCCACGGCGAAGAACTTGCGGTGTGGCACTCCCGGTGCCGAATAGAACTGCGACATGACCGGGCCGGCGATGGTCTCCAGCTGTACCACCTTGGATAGGGTGCCATTAGGTCGGATGGCAAAGGAGGTCAGGGTACCGTTGGCCAAGTCAACAGCTTCGTCCAGGCAGTACAGGACATGGTTGTCGTGGTCCAGCATCAGCCAAGACGGGTTGGTACCACAGTCAGTGGACTGGGCCACTGTTTCCAACTCATACTGTCCTTTGGATGATTGGGACAAGGACAAGGTGGTCACGGTGCCTGCATACGAGGCAGCATAAAGTCTGGAGGCAACGGCGGAGGTTGCTCCGAAAAGGAGGGGCACAACACTGAATTTCATGGTGACAGGGATACGCAGCTCGTATCTCTACAGCAAGAACAATGCCCACTGATAAGTGATCGGATTTCACTTGATCTGGCTGAAGAATTGGGTGGTGGAATTTGTCAACGACCTTGTTGAAGGAGAGAGTCTGGACACGGCGGGATTGGTAAACGAGGTGATTTGCAAGCAGGTGAGTTCCAGAACCCGAGGGAGTGTCTGAGTGATAAGCGCCGGTTTTAACTAGAACTGGCTGCCTATGTCTTGGCTGCAGACCTCGTGAAGAATATTTGCACTATTGCCAAGCAGGAATAGCAGAGTCTCCAC